AGGACATTCGTCGCCACGTACAGCCACATCGGAGATGTGCAATCGAACTTGAGCTGTTGACTTTATATACTTACGTGTCGCTCCTACTGCCAGGGGACATCAGCGCCAGCGTGTCGACGTGTGCTTACGCTTTATATCGCGTGGCTTTATTCCAGCTTGAATTCACTTCCCCTGTCTATGAATTTTTGATTTTGAGCTGCGCTTGAGGCTTGTCAGCCGCGAAGGACAAAGGAGAGGCGCGCTTTGGCCTACGGAATTACCCAGTACGGAAAACCTGTCAGATAAAAAGTGGCTGATTTGGATATCCTTCAAAGCGCGGAGAGTGGTTCGACAAAGCACGAGTGACTCCGTCCAGTCCAAGTGCGGCGTTGGACCGATAAGGCAGGCGCTTCGAGCCCTGCTACAAAGATGCCACCGCATTTAAAGACCTGCTCTGCCTGTCTACTGGCACATCTGTCCTGCCCTCCCCGTGTTCCAACATGCCGAGATACACTGAAAGTCTTACCGCCAGGGGCCAAAGTGGGTCGCGGCCTGTGAGTGTTTCATGGCCCTCGGGACAATTAAGTTGCTAACGACCCTTTCGATCAAGTACACAAGAAACGCTGCGACGGGGTGGTATGTTCTTATTGTATTTATTGATGATAGAATCTTGACCTCATTTGTCAATTCAGGAGACCCTACAAGTGCATCTTCACGCTGCCAGACGGATCGACCTGCTCGCACTCCGCATCCCAGAAGCAGAACGTCGAGACCCATATTCGGTCATGCCAGTGCGTCCCCTCCCCTCCCTCTCCATCTCTCCTCAGAACCAATCTGATCCGCTTCTGATCAAGTTTGGGGGTCCGCGTCCTGTGCCGCATCCCTGGATGCTGCGAACTGTTCACTAACGAATCGCTCGAGAACAAACACGTCCGTCGGGTTCACGCGGCGGTCGCTCTGCAGTACATCAACGTGGGCCTGAAGCCCAGCCGCATCGTCGCCGATCCCCTGTCCGCCTCGGCATATTCCATCTACCACGACAGTCCGACATGGCTTGCGGGATATTACTCCGTCTCGTCTACTTTAACAGACGAGTCCGCCGCCGCATCCCCTGCTCCCACCTGCTCCTCCCAGACCCAGCGCGCGCCGGTTTCTACGCTGTCCCCTGCTGCGCAGAATCGTGGCCTGTCCTCAGATCCAGTCGTCGGTGCAGAATTCCTGATACAATTCGAATCCGACCGTGACTCGGACTGCACGTCAGATGGCAGCGGTCTCGCTGAGACTCCATCGCCACTGCCTAGTGAAAGCAACCTAGACTGGCGCTGGCTCGCGGACACCGACCCGAGTGTTCTATCCGAGTTCTTGTCGGGATCGTATCGGATGGCAGCTGATGTTCATGGGCCTCAAGCGGGGACGGGCACGTCTCACGGGTGGATAGACCCCACTTCGGATTTCCTGCCGCCCCAAGATCAGAGCGGGCTGTCTTGCCTGCCGACACAGACGTCCTTCGAGTGGTATGATGCCCTTCAGGATATACCCACCTCGACCGCCTACTTCGGGTTTAACGGAGCGGATTGGGATATGCCTGCGTTTGCTACGGCCTATCCAAGGGATCAACCCTCGGAAACAGAGGAGTGGCTGAGAAGCTACTTCGGAGAGGATTTGAGTCGCTGGTAGTTTATAATTCAATCCGCTGTCTGACAGCCCGGACTTGCATCGATATATATTTCATACTTATGTCGTATTTCTTACAATGATCAACACCTACTCCGTGAGCCTATACCGTAATCTAAAGGCTTTTTGTCGTGGATCTACCCAGAATTTCAGATGCCTTCGGGGCCGGTTCTACCCGTCCACTGGGTAGAACCAGAAAATTTCATACTGGTTTCAGTGAGGATTGAACTACTGACCTTGTAAAAATGATTCAAATCCAGTGCATGAACAGACTGAACTAAACAGCCGATAGAGGATACGCACTTTTTCCCTCCACTTAGGGTAACCCGCAAGCGGCTTACCCTAAGTGGAGGGAAAGCTTTATCCTAGTATTGGTTATTTCAAACCCTAACAACCCAATAAACATATTTCTGAGTCTAACCAACCCTAACCAACCCTAACTGAGCCTATATCAGGTCTTATTTTTTTTTGCTACCTTCTCCCAACCATTACTGAGAGAAAATGACATCTTTGGGGACTAAACTTTAGCCCCAACCCGAACCCGAGCCCGAACCGCTAACCTCCGCGCCCAGAGGGGCGCGGTTTGTTTAAGACAGTTAGGCCCATCGTCACATCTTGTCAAGGGACAATGCTGTAAACCTGAAGCCGGTTTGGCCCAGTGTGATAATGCATTGGTTGGGGACTTCTTTTTTAGAAGGTCATCAGTTCAATTCCCACTGAAACCAAACCCAAATGTCCTGGTTCTACCCACAGCCCGTGGGTAGAACTGGCCCGGAAGGCATATGGAATTGTGGGTAGATCCATGCGCGAAGGCTTATTCCTACCACTAGGGTTGACTCCGTGCCCCGTCGTCAGTCCTTGGGAAAAACCGACCAAAATAACTTCTCCATATCATCCACCGCAGATTCGCTGACACGATGTGCGTGGCTGGATGAGCAGGAAGAGGTGATGGTGATAAACGTAGAATTTACACAATACAGCTTCTGTGGCTTTTGTATACAACATGGTACATGCTATACAGGTGAGTTGGATGAATTGCCTGTTACTACAAGCTGAAGGCACACTCGAGTGTGCCGAACGAGATATCATCAAAATACGGGCCTGAGAAAATGAGCATATGTACGAGGAGAAAGCATAAGAACGCACCAAGGTGATTCAGAATGCTGATGTCCAGTCCATTGTCCGTCGAGCATTCACTGCTCGGATTGTCCTGGCCGGGACACGCCACGAAATCGGCGCTGGGATCGCCCGTGATGTGTACCTCGCCGCTCGAGTGGTGATAGCCCCAGTCGATGAACGGGAGATCCGGAACAGGGTCGTGCTGGTTGTTCAGGAACGTCACCGGCACCGTCGCATCGACGTAGTCCGCCCAGGCCTGGTCCCCCGACCGCGGCATCCCGAATCCGACGACACGCACGTGCACGCTCGAGGGCAGAGACGAGCGCAGATACGCGCCGGTCATCGTGGCGAGCGCTGCGCCCAGGCTGTGCCCGGTGACGACCACCTCGGTCGTTCCGCCACGGACAGCGGATTCGGCAGCGGCGAGGATGGCGGACGCCGTGCGGATGAAGGTCTGCTGGAATCCGCTGTGCACGTTTGCGGCCTTTGCAGCGGGGAAGAACGATTTGTTGGCGGGAGTCAGTTCGAGTTCCGCGTCATTCAGAACCGATTCGCTGCACCCAAGGATCAGAGGCTGGAAGGAGGAACGGACGAGGGCTGCATACAAGTGGATAGGATCTGTGCCTTCGTGCGCAACATACAAGACACCGTCTTTTCCCGAGGCAACGTAGTAGAACGGTGTCGCTGATCCATCTGTAACAAGGGTCAGATGGAGTGCGAACCCCTAAACAGTCCGGACGCACCTCCTCCCAGTTGCGTGACCACAGCCCCGATTGCATCCACAGCATCACACGGCGTCCCGCAGTTCATGGCAGCAACAGCCGTGGTCTCGCAGTACGCCATCCGAGCAAAGATGGCGGCAGGCGAGAACGTGGCCCTGATGCTGCTCAGCGACACAGCAGTCGGGGCGGCATCCCGTCTGTCCAAGGAAGCCGGCGCAGCCTGAACGAGACCCGGGACGAGCCCAGCGAGCAGAGCAAGGACGAGCATCAGACGACATCTTGGGCAGCAGTGAATCCTATATATAGTCGCAGCAGAGGGCTTCCCCGCACTGATTGTCAATCACTCATGTGGAGGGCATCCGGGGATTTCATCGCGTGGGGAAGTATGAAACGTGCCGGGCTTCTGATTGGGCCATGCCAGTCTCATCCATGAGGTCGAAGATGGGAGGATGATGCACCATGAGCTGCACGCGACGCGGACCAATAACCGACAATTGTCGAGGGCAGCTGCATCACCATCCGAGCGTCGATAGCAATCAGAGCAGCAGTAACACATCCAGCTGACCACGTCCGTCTGCTTCTTGTAAGATAATGGGTTGATGACCGGGTGATCGACTGTGACCGGTCAGTTGCGGAGCATCAGATAGATCCGTATTTACCACGCGTATCGAAGACCAGCAGGGCCGTTTGACTTTCATCCCTCGGGGAGTATCGAGGAATTCCACCCCGCCAGCCAGGAAACGCACAGTCGACTGATGGCACTGTGAATCTTCTAGGTCGTTTCGCGAGCATTCCAGTGGGCGAGACCGGCATGCGCAGCGTCGAGGCTTTCGTAACTGCATAGGATCTGCAGGACTTGATTGCGATAGAGTTTGCGTTCGCGAACAGGCGACGGTAGCTCTATGACGGGAGTGTGAAGATCCCTCGCGTGCGTCCCTACTATGATTAAGAGGCTGGATATGCGCATCACGACAAGGAGCAAGGCGAGAGGTTATGGAAGCAATGGATCTGGGTGCCAGCCATGATTCATGTAAATCAGACTCGCAGCGAGACAGGAAGAGTCGAAATCCACGCCCCAGAAGATGGTGGTCGAAGCGATGGGTGCAGAACACCGCCACGATAGCATCTGATCTTTCGCAGACTGCCGCGACTAATGGCATAGACATGCACATCCTGATCGCAACTAACCAGAAAATGTGCGCTGTTGGCTCTTTGGCACTTATTCCCTCAGGCTTCTCCTCGACCAGGTTTCATACATCTGAAATTTATGCTTTTGTGACTCCTGGGCTGTTTGGCAAAGTGGACCTGCCAACAAGCCATGCTGACACAATGACGGATCAGGTACGCATTTCCGATCGGCCGCGAGCAACAGTTCGCAGTTATAGATCGTTTTTCTGGTGAAGATCAATTCCGCTTGGGTATGATATACTCTTCCGAGCATCACACGGTTCTCGACCGAAGCTAAAACGGGCTGTGTGATCATGCCCTCCCATTTCGATCGAAACGGAGACATTCTTCATTGCAAGCAAGCAACTATGATCTATCTATGCATGACGATCCTGATAACGCAGCTCGTCGTGGATAGTGGACCTGGGCAGGGTACGTCATCAGCATCGACGAGCAGTGATCCCTCATTTTCTGGACGCCGACCTTTACGACGAAGTCGAATCACAACCATTCCCAGTGCAGATCAGCTCTCCACCGATCATCTGGCATTTGCAGGTGAACGCCGGGCTGGGGGCGGCGCTGGCGATGGTAGCGACGACGAGGGCGACCAAAAGAGACAGATTGAAGCGCATGATTGGTCGGTGGGGGTTGCGAAGGGTGGGTAAAATACCTGAGTCGAGTCCAAGGTCGCGAAACGGCCTATTTATACGTGTTGCTTATCAGAGATGCGCGTAGTCGATAGTCTTGAAACACTCGCGCAACGGCCTGTGCCTGGGGGCGGGAAGATGGGTATCGCCGTTTCCATGCGTTGTTAGATAGAGGAGCAGCGGACGTTCTCGCGCCGGGCTTGAATCTCCACTGGTCCCCAATACCTGATCACGAGGGAAGCCATATAGTCTGTGAGGCACTCACCAGCCGAATGAGTTAGATTGTATGCGCGCCCCTGGCAAATCGGGACCTGTAGTGAGTGCGAATTGTATAGTCAAGCTCCGCACCTCCATCTGTGATCTGATCAACTAGGGTTTAGTACTATCGACTGAGCTGCCTGATCAGCGGATGTCTGCAATGTCCACCAGAAGCCGATCCACCGCTCACGAAAGTGGATGGTGGAGATCATCTCCTCTGCAGAAGGCAACTTGAGCGCAGCACACGAAATTGATAGCAGCGGGAGAGAGGGATATGAACCTCCCATCATTGTCCACGGCCCGAATGAAACGCTCGTTGAATATCCGAGACGCGGACTCCAAAGTGCAACGCAGATTGGCGACATGTCTCGATTGCAACTTAGACACAGAGCTGGTGCATTGACACCGAGTCCCCCAACGCATGAGAAAGCGTCGTGTATTGGAGACTGGAACTTAGAAGAACGTCGGAGTATCGACAGTGAAGGACATTGCGCCCTAGCGTGTCGTTTCCTCTTGTGTGCATGATCGCTCCAGATTTCAGGGCAAGACATGCGATGTTTACTTCTCGAGGACAGAGGACTATTGTCTCAAAGTGTGAGCTCTGAATATTCATGGGAGACACTGCTCCACTTCGAAACCCAGACAGAACGAAATAAAGACAAATCCCTGCTCACATTGGATTGGAATTGTGGTATGAACGCAACGAGAAGCTGCTGAGAGGCTGTTGAATTGATCAAAGAATTTCCAGGCTAGACCGTGAAGATACAGAGGCCTTCGAAGATAGACAGATTTCGAATTTTCGTGGTATGATCTCGAACCACACATCGGCGGCAAAATGAGCGACGTAGGGGTCGAACCTACAATCTCCTGATGAACTGGTGCAGAGAACAAGTCGTAGTCAGACGCGATGCCATTTCGCCAGTCACCCTGCGAGGCAGATCTTCCCGCATGAGTTGTGATCAGCAAAGCGTCGATATCTTTGTGTGCCAGAGGGATGGGTAGCCAAGTCACAATCGGATGCTGCAGATTCGCAACGGATTGGCGTCAAATGGAAAGGAATAGATTGGAAGACATCCTCTTGTAGTATTTCTCATCCGCGATCGCAATTGGAAAGCTCACAGTCGTACTAGGACTGGCCGCGCCATTGTGGGCTTTCGTATTCTGATTGATCACATGAATAGATCATGTTGATATTCTAGCCCGAGTCATCGCAGAGGTACTCAACGAGGATCTTCCCGACCGGGAGAGGGTACTGGGATAAGTGGTGGTCAGCAATAGAGGGTTCTAGAGCCCGTGCACTCACGTTGACTCCACCGGAATCATGGCAATGGAGAGGCTGATATTACATACGCAACGAGGCGGCAGCATCAGTCAAAGAGTTCTCCAGGGCACAGATCGCATATTCGCAACAGCGCAAGAATCCGGATGGAACAAAGTGGTCGTTCTCTGATGGCTGTATTGCCATGCCGTCCCATATGTAACGACGCCAGCAAGGGCGTCTGGACTTTTTGTAGTGTATTAGAATGCTGTCATCCAGTTCGGCAACAGAAATACACTTGTAGCGGGCTTTAGATAATAGGCACTTGAGTAGAGGAAAATACGAGAGCAGGGTAGATCAGATAGGCATTTGTGACGCACCCGCACGGGCCGCACCTTCTATTGGCAAAGGCCCTTCTATCCAAGGCAGTTCAATAAGAGTGAGTCCGGCTGTAGACCGAGGTCAGCGCAGGGGTCTTTACTGTGTGCTGACGGAGTGCCTTCCGTGGCATGTGGCAAGATGCAAAGGACCCCATCAATGGTACCATAGCGTCACTCGACTTGCTGCCATCAAATCCTTGGGTTGCGAATATGGAATTGACTATGTGCCCACAGTCATCGGCCTGATGGTCTAGTAGTATGATTCCTTGTTAGGGTTGCGGGAGTAACGTTTCGAGGAGGTCCCGGGTTCAATTCCCGGTTAGGCCCTTTTTGAAATAGCCCAAATTTAAAAACTGCGCACGCTTGAGGCAAATTCATCACGATTGACTGTGTAGGGAATCCCATGACCAAAACCATTTGCTGGCTGACCCTCGAATTCACTTCGAGTGTGATATGCGCATGGGCTGTCGTTTTTTGCTCTCTCCGATCGCGTTGGCTCTTGATGTCTGGTTTCAATAAGCTCCCTTATCTTGTATTACTCATAATCCAGCTGTGAGCCATTATCGGCTCATCGAAGTACTTATTCACAACTATAGATCTTTGATCATACTCTGCTTTGATCTAGCGTCCACAACACGATCTGCATCGGACCCACGTTGGTGATAACACTTGAGTGATAAGATGCTGCCCCGCATAGGCATACTTACAGATATTGTTAAGATGATCTCTATCTTCTCTTAGATCTTTGGCACGACTTGGGATATGGCCTGTTCGATCTCTCAAGCTCATTTGTACACTTACACGGATCTCAATCGATCATATTCCCGGGGTTCCCCAACGCGCACATCACCTGACCGTGAATTGATGGTCCCTGCCAGCACATGTATGTGGATGTGTTTGCGCATCATCATATACCACACAGCATCTCCCCCTTCCTTCGCGCTATCCACTTCAAGTCCACTCTTTTTTGCTCTCCGAGCTACAAAGCCGTTTCGATGTCTATGAACACCGCTCATACACCAGGATCCTCGACCTTCGATGCACGGCTCCACCCTCAGTCGGACCCTGTGCCAGGTGTTGACCCCTTCACAAGGGCGCCGGATTCGCCACCAGGGGTTGCATGCCCTCAGCCCGAGGAGCATTCGGGGAACAATCGTTTGGAGTGCGGTGTTCACGATGAAGATGAACAACTCGAGCCAGTCGACGATACGTCAGGTGGAGTGGAGAGTGCGGCTATGGGGCGGCGGAGAATACAAGGTGTGTACATTACCTTCTTTGTCACGTCTCCGTCGTCTTGGTTGCAGTCCAAAGAAAGACAAGTGCTAACTACCTCGTTTTGCAGGGGGCGATTACAGCGTATCGGAAGGCACCGCCACCATGGCCTCGGGCTCAGCTTCGATTTCAGCTTCTACCTCCACCAGCACGGCTGATAGTATAACGCGCCGCGTCATGCGCAGCGCTTCTATCTCCAGCAGTCTTCTCAGACGTAGCCTCAGTGTGACGCGGGATACGAAGCAGGGCAGCGCAGCCCCGACGAACGGTGCGGGTAAGTTCCGCCGCCACATCTCGAATGTCTTTGGGCGATTGAGCGCTCATGCTCATGGGAACCGGTGAGTTCCATTCCCTCTGTAGGCTCTCACGCTGACATCTTTTTTTTTCTACCCTTCCATTCAGGGCTAGAAAGCACACGAAGTAAGTGTTCCCTCTGCAGTACGCGCAGTGTCCTGATCAGCCCCAGCTCCTCCTTTGCGTCATCCAGCTCATTACCGACACTCCCTGCCGAGCTATGGATGTTGATCCTGGAGTTCTCGACCTATCCGAATCTAAGCGCCGAATCAGTTCCCCCATTGGATATCCCGTCTTCATTCCGGTCACCTGCTTTGACACCTGCCTCGCTCGGTGCCAGATTGGTATACTACCGATCTCTGATGGCACACAAACGCGCGTTGTCGCTGGTTTGCCGTGCTTGGCACGTGTATGCGCAGCCCGTGCTTTATACCTCCATATGGATCTCCCGCTCGCGGCAGGCCCGAGCCTTGGCGCAGACTCTCCTTTGCGGCGCATGCTGTCTCTCGCCGCAATCACCGCAAGCCCGGGGTGAAGGGCCGGGCCGGTTTATCCGGCGGCTGCACATCGAAACGAGCACTCTCGAGCGGTGTGACGTGGAGGACCTGCGCCGTATATTGGATTACGCACCGTGCCTGGAGGTCTACTCGGACTACCGCTCGGTGCGGAGGGTCATGGCTGGTGTCTGTATTCCGAAGAAAAAGCAGTCGACGACGCCCGATGATCTGTTCGAGTCCTTGGCCCACGGTGGTGGCCTGCGTCGGCTGAGTTGGACGAGTTACGACGATCCGACGCTTGTTGGGCTTGGGGTCGGCCTCGGGCGGGGCGTCGCTGGACAACTCGAGTACCTCGAGCTCAATTTTGTCTCGAGCACGGTATCTTCCTCGATCGCATTGACAACAGTCGTGCCCAACGCGGGGCTACAGCTTCCCGCGCTCCGGACGTTGAAAGTGACGCTGGACAACGCGACGTTCGCAGTGCTCTCGACTTGGGGTCTGCCGGCGCTGCAAAACCTGAGCGTCGTCTCCGCCGACTTCTCATATGCATCCGAAGGATTCCGGCGCTTCTTCACTGTCCATGGGAAGCGCCTGCGACAGCTCGAGCTCGGGCATGGGTACGGCGTTGCCGGCGGTAACGACGAGACGTGGGTGACCCCCCGGGGTGCGAATGGCCTGCAGCTGAGCCTTGCGGCGTGGTGCCCGGATCTGGACGAGTTCATTTGCAGCGCAGATGCGGAATGGAATTGGCAGCACCCAGACTGGATCGCGCCGCACACCCTGCTTCCCTCGCACCCGAATGTGTCGTTCATCGGCATCCGCGGGATCGACAAACGCATGTGGGAAGACCGAGGCGACGACACCTTCTTCGGGCTGCGAGAGCAGGTCGAGAGTTTACTCCGGAGAGAGGCGTTCCCAAGGCTGAAGTATGTGAGGGACATGAGCGAGGGAAGCGATCGGATGCGGAAAGGGCTTTGGGGCTCGGATTCGCATCCTGTCAGCAAACGAGAACGGCAATCGGTCGTGAACTTCTGGGCGGGTGTTTTGAAACGATGTCGTGAGGAAGGAGTCTGGCTCGAAGAGTGGTGTGGTGTCAATATCACCAATAACACCCTCTTGAGAGCCGAGGCACATGTCAACGGACAGTAACACATATATCTACACTCATTTTCTAGCTATCTTCTTGCTTTGCGTATATACCATGTAGCCTCAAATATCAAATCTTGTCCATGCAGTTTCACGGCATCAATAGAACAGTTCTATCGGTGCAAGTATCCCATCGATCCAAGTATCGTCAATCTCAAGCCACCGGCCCACTCGCCGCAGCTGGTGGTGGATGCTAAAACACATGAGGGAGTGCCCAGAGCCCGTTCGCTCTGCTTCGGGCGTTCAGCGTTGGGATAAGTCCGTCGCCGGTACTAGCACCGGCTCGAGCTGAGGTCAGACCTTTGCATTGAATTGCGAGAGGGGGGAGATGATATCGGATTCGGCGGCATCTTGATCTGGGCAATGGGCGGATGCAACCCAATTTGGGAGATGAGAGTGAGGCCAGGCAAGAGCTTGCTCGAGGTCCATACGCGCAAAACACCGAGTGAGGAAAAACGGATGCACAGAAACGTTAGTAGCGGCTCATGAGCAGCTAGCTACCTTCCCATCCTCGGCGAGATCACTATCTCCCCCAGCTGCGAGACCAAGGCATTGCAGATTTGGGGTGACCATGGCAGGGAACGAAGGAGGCTGCTCTCTTCGAGACGGCCATCGACCTGGTAGCCGCGCAGACCCGGGACCATCGGGTAAGACCGCGTGTCGGTGCCGTCCTACTCGGGAGTGAAGCATCAGGTCTGCGTGTTGCTCGTTGGCTGGACCCGCCGTTGTGGCATCGGGTACTCTCCCAAGTACAAGGATCCCAATCCTCATGGGAGCCCATTCACCACAGCGATAATATTCCAGAAAAGTACGTCTCTTCTCGGGAGGTGCACGACAACAGTCAAAGTACGTATGGAACTCGGCTCCCAGTGTCAGAATCACACCCCGACCACGTCTCATCTTGGGTAGAGGACTCTAAATGGGTCTGGCAACCGCTAGCCGTAGAGCTCGGCTGCTGAGGTCGGAGGCGCGTGGACGGCGACTTCAGAGTCTCGGTCATAGTATGCGAAGCGGAAAGAAAGGGTCCAGGGATTGTCTTCGGCAATGTAGGCTTCGCGTCGTTCGGGGAGCGGGGCACAATATTGGGTGATGTGGAAGGTCATTTCGGCCGGTGGCTGAGTGAACAAGTTTTTGGCAGCAACAGGGTCCTGTGAAAAGCGGATCCTTTGAGGGAAAGCTGGCAACTATACAGGACGCGTCTAGCATGAATGAAAATCAAAGGAATGAGAGGTGAAACCGGTGCGTTGATAGTCAATATACAGATCAATCCTCTATATCTTCCAAGCTCCGCTCGATGTAGACAGACCGGAACATCCTCTCCAGATCGTCTGTGGCCGCGCGCGTAACGTCCTCCCAGAGGGCGCTGGAACGCATCTCTGCCCAGTCCGGATCCTCAGCGGAGATGATATCGAATGCGTCACCAGCCCAGATGCCCCGATGGATAGGCGTCTCGTTGCAGTCGATAGGATCGTCGAGCGGACCTTCAGACGACCAGCAAATCCGGGAGAGGACAACGTGCCCCAGATCCAAGAAGTTCTCCACCTCGCGGCCGTCCTTGCTTCTCCAATCGGTGTACTTTTTGAGCAGTGCGACGTCCATATCGTAGCCTTGCACATACTGCTTCCGGGTGATATTCCTCAGGATGAGAGGGTGTGCAGGCCAGACGATGTCTTCCTGCTCCAGTGACCCCCAGCTCTGCAGCGGATGGCACAACTTGATGGCATGCTGGATGTCCAAAGGCCGCTCTTCGTAGTAGGCGCTCCCGTTCAGATCTCGGGACAGCTTCGTATGAGTGAAAGACAAATGGGGTGCCTCAGCGGACAGGTGATCGATGAGACACGGATAAGTGCTGTTCTTGGTGTTGAGTAGCTCAGTCTGCTCATCCGCGGACAGGATATGGTCCGGTATTTCACTGATCCAGAGATCTACCTCGCAGCAGAGGACGCGATGTCCAGTCCACCACATGTCAGCTACCTCACGCTCGAGATATGCGTAGATGTGACGGCGCCCAAGATCCCACAGCATTTGGCAAGACATGGCAGCAAAGACCACATCAAGCATGGCCTCAGAGAGGATGCCAAAGACCATGTCAATAAGCTCGGCTGGTAGACGATCGAGCAACATGGATTGCCTGCTTGGAGATGATAAGCAACAGTTATTCACTGGCTCGAGTCGAACGTGCCTTTGGTCAGCCCGAGCAGGGCACAAGAACCGAATTTGGTTGTGGTAGCTGAGTAATCGTCAGCACCATTGAACAGCGTATTCTAGGAGGCGCACACGTTACCTCGCCCTCTCGTCGGAAAGGCCGTCTATTTCGCTAGCCGATTTCCTTCGGTACTCGAAATGTACCACATGATCTGGCATGCAGGGCCACACGATCTTGTCCATTGCTACCAGCTTCACGCGCATGAGCTTGCCGGCCAGGATATGCGCGTACCGACTGCCAAAGAAGCAATAGCTATCGAGTCGTTCGAGACGGAACAGGCGCGACCGTTGAGTGAGGCTGATGACATTCCAGACTTCGCTCATGGACGTTGAAAAGGGGAAAGACTAGGCGGACATGACAGACAATAACTGATCGTATGCAAAGTGACTGAGTCACAGTGGTCACGGTCTGTTAAAGCACACCTCTTGATCTCAATCTTATCCAATCCCGCATCGAATCCGCTCGAAGCGTTATAAACTGCCTGACTCAGCCACAGGTCGTGTGCCAGTGCTGCGCTCAGAGGCCGGTGTCCGTGGGAAACTAAACTGTCGTGTGATCTGCCTATCAGCTCCCTTCAAGTTACATGCCCACGACATTCAAATAGCTCGAAGCTCGCTTCTGATGTCGTCCGTGAAAGTTTCCTGCGACATACCGCCATGCCCATCGCGGCCCTGCGCGCTCTCCGGTCTCCCCGCCTCCTCGTCTCGTACTCGCTACTTCTTATCACGACAACGCACGCTCTCACGAACATAACGATTGACGATACGGACACGACATCCATCGTGTACACCGGCCAATGGTCCGAATTTGCCTCCGAACTCGACTATGGCGGGAGCCACGCGTTCAGCAGTGACGCGTCCGCACTCGCGACGTTCTCCTTCACCGGCGTCGCGGTATACTATCTTTCTCCGCGATGGCCGTATGCGGTCAGCACTAGCTTGACGCTCGATGGAGGGCCGGTGGTGGCGCTCAACCTCACTGACCCGCTGGTGTCACCCATGCCGGAGGGGGGCTCAGAGTCGGCAGCATGGGCCGTGATCTGGTCGGCTACGGGCCTGGCGAATACATCGCATAGCCTGGTCGTGCAGATGGCCCCAGTGGACGGGATCTACGTCATTGTCGACGGATTCATGCACGTATTCCTTCGGCGTTGAGTGCAGGACAAAGGCGCTGACGAGTCACAGCTACACGGTGGATGATAGGATCTCAAATGCTCCATTCCCTTCCAAAAAGAGGCGATCTAACACACTAGCCATTGCGCTCAGTTCTGCTCTGGGGGGCATCGTCCTCACAATCATCGCTGCGCTTACGATCATGTTTCTCCGGCGCCGGCAGAATCGCCGGGACGTTACGCACGACTTGCGGAAAGATGAATTGGAATCCAGCCACGGGCTTGTACCCGCCGCACCCACTGTCATCCCTGCATCCACTGTCAACCCTACTACGCCTGTCTCTCTTCCGCCGACTGTGACCGTCCCTCCAACGGTAACCTCTCCATCGACTGTAACCGCACCGCCGACTGTAACCTCTCCACCGACACCTCCCATTCCCTTCTTTCCAAGTGACACACCCGGAATGATATCTTCCACGAAGCCCGTACCAGCGTCTCGGACTACTTCCTCTTGTCCACCTTCGAGCTACCCTGGGACTCTGTCCATGTCCCATCGGATCCCGTCGAATACTCGGTCGCTCCGTTCCCAGGCTCCGACACTGACAAACCAGAACGCAACGTTTTCTGCTGGCACGAGATACACTCCGAGTCCAGATCCACCATCTTCCCCCGACGAAGTCGGCGCCGATTTCTCCATGGCCGGGATCGGGGCGCATGGCGGGCGCGCTCGATTGAGTCAGCCTCTCCGCCCGGCGCATCTTACGGCCCAGCGTACGGTCTCCTCCCCGGTTCTTCCCACCTCGGCGCTTGGCTCCCTATCTGCAGATCCTGTGCCCTCTCCTTCCCAAACTACACCGTTGGACGGCTCTCGTTGGCGGGCTAGGGATGGCCCGCAGGTGTGCCCTTCGCTGAGCTCAAGAGCCGAAAGCACAGCCAGCGATTCGGATTCCCTAGCCCCGTCGTCGTATTATGAAGTCAAAAGTCCCGGCTTTCCAGTCTAGTTCGCTCGTGTTTGTTACTTGTTCCCACTCTCGGACGGAGGATCACATCCAATCACGTGTTCTTGCCATTCTCATGCCCAGCTGAGTCTTCTTTACGCGGCACTGGACTCGTCGCTCTTGTAAGCATACTGGAAATCTATTGACACTTATATCCACCTGGCCCACGTTATACCGAATGTTACCCAGACCGTCTGATGAATTTTTCTGTCGAAGGTCAGAACGCAATCGATACATATGATATGATTAACCCCCGGGACTCCGTCGCGCTGGATGTATCGACATTCCGGCGCCTCAGACCACCGGAGCAAAACGCAGAGCATTCCCCGACGGGGAGTCGAACCCCGGGCAAGTGCGTGAAAGGCACCTATGTTAAACCGCTACACTATCGAGGAGCTGATAGTGACGCCCTGGGTGGGCTCTATCATGACAGTTGTGATGCATGTCATTGATGTGGCGAAGTGGCCCGAACTAAAATTTAGCAATCTCTGCAAATCATTCATACCAAAACGGTCACGCGAGAGTAGAGAGGGAGAAAAACATGTAGCAAAAAAGTTTTGTGGCTGTGCACAGTGCATACCTAGGACCTACTGATGAATGTCTATAGAAGGTGGGTCCGAAAACCTGCAGGATCCGAACCTGATATTTGAGGCTGGTGAACGAGCATATGATGAATGTTGCATTTTATATTTGATGCCGTGAGAAAACTGTGGTCTGCCTATCAAGCATCGTCAATAGTTGGCTTTGCCAAATGGCCGCCATTATCCACCTAGAAGACCAGCTATGCGACGCTCTCCTCTTAGATTCGCTTCGTCTTCACGGATTCCTTGGCCTTGTTCCAGATAAAGGCGTCGAAGATAGCTGGGCGATGAAAATCTGGCAGGTACACCACAGTACTTACACTCATCACATTATTTTACGGTATGATGCTTACATCGCACTCAAATCGTCTGACTGACTGAAGTCCTAAAATAGGCTCGCCAAATCCGTTGCGGATCCACGCACGTCGCTGAAACAGCGGTGCGCGGTTTCACTGGTCTTGTATGCAAGATTCCGCGAGTGCGCTACTTATTCGAGCTAAAACCAAGCTTCACGTCGAATATACATGTTGTCTTCAAGTAATCGTTGTCCAATTTGAAATTATCTCACACTTTTCCCCCTCAAAACGATCTCAGAGGAACGTTGACCATCTCCCATTCGGGATCCAACATCGTGAGTGACTCGGGTCTCTCCAACCGGTATACACCCTCTCGCATTCCGGCAGTACTCTCCCTTTGTATCATACGGCTGCATGTTCTTGGTCGCTAATGTTTGCATGATCAGCCCGCCGAGTTCATTATACTCTCAAAATGCAAGTTGCGACGTAGTAGTTTTGTAGCAGCCGCTCGCAGATACCGACATGCATAATCTCTTGTGACAAGTGCACGGTTCCGTTTGAGTGCCTCTCCCGAGACTAGCTGGTCTTCGAGTGCCAGACGAATGCCGGATTCAGGGCCAGGATTGAGGAGCGATACGTGAGATTGGGGTCTTCGGCGCAGAGTTGAGGGGGGGGAGACAACAGACGCTCTGCACTGACAATATTGGAAGCGTCCCACAGGAATCAACCACAGTAAGAGATCTGTTGCGCGCGAACCGCGGACGATCGAGGCAGCATAGCGCATGTCAACAGGAAAGATTCCGGCATGAAATGCTGCTGGCAGTTATACGCAGACGATTCAGTGCGCTTCCGAGACGAGGTGGTTGGTTGGTTGCAGAGGCGCCAATGTGCGGTTTCCAAGGGACTAAGAAGCGAGATGAAGAGGTGTGGGCTTGAGGCACCCGTCGATTCTTGCCAGTGCGCGACCCTTAGCGTTGATCCAGCTGGATGTCGAGGTATATTCCAGCTTTCAAGCTGCGAGACCAAGGAATGGATGTGACTCATTGTGTGATTCGAGCTTTGGCGCCCCAACGTAGATCCCGTCGATACTCTTCGTGATGAGAGACCAGTCGACCGCAGTCAGTGTGCTAATACTTGGATACGGCAGTTTCGAGGATATTCAGTCTTTATATCTGCGATCAAATCCAATCAACTCACTGAGAACGTGGAAACGCGTGAGAAGTGACCCTCTCCATCCCGCATCCGTCATCAGTCGACGCGATCATGTGACTCCACGTGAGCCGCGTAACAATCAGCCAAAAAAACTTTCCCTCGCAATTTCGTACTTGCGCACCTGATCCTGCGACCGGCAACGCCAATGACACTGTTGCGTATAGGGTTTACTGACGCCGGAGCGTGGGCTCATATTGACACGGGCTCCACCCAGACGTGAGCATAAGCTAGTGTCAATTCCGACATACACACGTCTGCTTTCTCATGTTTTCCAGGGACAGCGGCCGTGCCGTCTGACCCCCTTCCTCATCGGCAGCGAGGGAGACATGAATGTTCATTTGTCCCTCGGAGGGACTAGCCCAGCCAACTCTAAAATCCAGGGACTTGCAAGGGCTGATTTTTACGCAGAATATGGGCGAAATTGATGAGTGCCTACAGGGTCGGCTGGCAGGTTTGGGACGTTTTTTGCGTCATTGCTAGGCACTTTTTGAATTTCGGCTGGCATTACGAGTTTTACGACAAGATCAAGATTTGTGTTCCGCATTGCATGGCTTGAGACAGGTGACTAGAATTCGGCGAGTAGTGAGTTGCGCGTGAAGGCTCAATTTCTAGTAAGAGTGGTTAGAGGATGCAGAGATGGAGAGCCACTCAGCAATTCGTGATATTCATGTGTTATCTCTATCGGCTACGAAGACAGATAAGGCCGATCTTCGAAAGAGGCTCGGTAACAGTCGCAGCAGGAAAAGTGAGGCAAATCTCTGGTCAGTCTTGCTGTGTGTTATTAGGTTGGCATAGAGGAAGCCGATCAGCAGACCCAGCGACGCGGAGAGTGTCAGACGACGAAGAGATCGGGTTCCACAACGTGTTCATGCATGTTGTTTCTGAATGTGGATCTCAGCAAGAGACAACTGTCACTGTCATCAACTGCAACAACTAACTACAGCTGACAGTAGATCAGGTGACGTATTTGTCAGCTAGGACTATCATCTGCTTCTGCTGCAGCATTTCCGTGCCAACCTCGCGAGCGTGGAAATCGTCACTATTTCTCCTCTAGCGCCGATGGAGGGTCGTAGACGTGGATACAACAGCATGCACTGAAGCGCATTCAAGGTCCTGTACGGCTCTTTGTGCTTCAGGAACTGCCCATCTGCTGTCCAATCACTGCCAGTGGGCCGTGGCAGGTCGCCGTGGACGTTTCACAATCTTCTATTCTTGGCTTAGCATCTCCATCTGGAGTGCAACGAGGCCTCTTCCTCTCTTCCTCTCTTTTACATGTCAGTCGCGTGTCTTTTGTGACTCTCTGCTTTTCCCCTCTTCCCTTCTGCTCGCTTTGCCTTTCGTCCCTTCTCCATCTTCATCTTTCTCCGCTCTCATGCTCGTGACGAACCTCTCAAGACCATCCGTGTACTCCTCCTTCAAACGGCAGAACAGCTCCTCGTCTGAAACAACCTCCGTGGGATCCATTTATGGCGATGCGCTGCGAGCGAACAAGTCACGACCATCAACAGCCCAATCTTTCTACTCGCTTTCTTCCGCATCCTCACCGTCCCTGAAGTCAGGCTCCTCGCCCTCGCCCTCGTACCCTCAGCCGCCGAAGAAGATGAGATCGCCCGCCCCGCTGCCGCTGAAGAGCTCGACGTGGGACGCCGCCCAGCCGTTATCTGCGCCAGATCCCGCATACGTGGAGTCGGAACTGCGGGTCCCCGCCATCCAGGTCGTTTCACCAGCCTCGATATTGCCATCTGCGCCCGATACGCCACTGGAGGTGCCCGAATCCGAGCTGCGGCGGCGCCAGCTGCACAAGCTGACGAGGATCCTGGGTGAGGCGATACCCGCGGACCTGATCACCCTCCGGGCGGAGCCGACGAGCGTACTCAGACCCACGCCGCCGCCACCGCAAAAGAATAAGAAGCTGCTGCAGCAGCAGCAGCAGTATACGACTGGCCTCGGTTCCGCGTTGTCGGATATCCTTCCGCCACGCCGGTCGATGGACGCCGTGCAGCCGCAGCGCCGCGCGGGTGCGTCGAGCGCGAGCAGTGCGGCGGCGTCGGCGACGACCAAGCTTGCGCGGCGAGCAAGCTTGTCGTTCAATACGATTGCGTCGAGGCTGCGGAGCGGCTCGCACTCGCGGGACTCGTCGTTGGAGTCCGGCGAGGGAAACAGGGCCGGCACGCCCTCGCCGACTCTGTCGGCGTTCGCGACGATGCCTCCGAGGCGCCGCTCGTTGGCGCTAGGCTCCCCGATCCTGTTCGCGTTTCCTAGGCGATCGCAAACTCCGCAGCCGCAGCCGCGGTCGGAGCCGGTGCCTTCTGCCGTTCCGGTTGCGGACAGCCACATTATTGATATTGGCTATCGAGACTCCGAGGACGAGGAGGGGAGAGAGCGGGAGGAGGAGGAGAATGGGGCCGAGCTGGAGGGTGACGCGGTTCCGATCGTCGATGCACCCCCGCAGCCGGGTCCGCGCGCATTCGAAACGCGAATCATGCCGATGCCAGCGCACACAGACCATTCAGCGTCGTATTCGCGGCCTGGGACGCCCTTCGACCCGTCGCGCCCACAGACACCATTCGAAGATTTCTTCCTGGGCCGGTCTCGACCCGCCACCCCGTTTATGGCAGGACGGCCGTCGCTGGAGCGCCATCCCCCGCGCCCGGACACGCCGTTTCTTGATTTCGACCCGCAGGCAGCAGCACCGGCGATGGCGGCAGAGCAAGGCACGCGGTTCCTGTCGCCGACTGTCCGGAAGGAACGTGCCCAGGGATGGAGCGGGGAGTGGAACAAGGCTGACATCAAGGATGTTATGGAGAAGCTGCGGAAGCTCAAGTGACCATTTCTTTTTTGTTGTTGTTGTATGCTGCGGAGCAGCTCTTGTAATCTAACTTTGTGTAATGGTACACCGCCGGACTGGATGTGTAGACGGTACCTGATTCTGCTTGCATTTGCCGAGAGAGATCCGTTCCGAATCAGTGCGCGCACAAGGCATTGTGACTGGTCGTTTTGCATTCTACCCGCACATCCCCAACTGCTCCCTATGCTGTTTACCACGGGCGGTAAGACCACCGTCTCATTCTTCGTGCAGTGCTACAACCGGACTCTGCCGCATGGTCAGCAACAACCTTTCGCTGCACTTTGATCTCGTATCTCCTTACCACTGGCAGGTCTTGCTTTCTCCGCATCCCCGACTTACTCATCCTCAGGTTCCATCCTTAGCTGGCTGAGCGCATTGAAATTTGGTGCAGAATGGCATCCTCAGTCCATACAATGCGGTGGCCACGGTCGTTCAAAGATGTTCGCTGCAGCAAAGACGTCGTCGGGTGCTACGGACTGCTGCGGTACAAGACGCCTCGTTTGCCATGGCAGCTCAATGGGGCAACGCGACTGGGAAAGAGGGCGGGCACCTTTGGATGTGAAAGTCCGAGTTGCGACTCGTGAGCGGTCAGCCCCGACTGCCAGCGCTACATTCATAGTGTCCGCCAAGTGCAAGTCAGTGTTTGTCAGCTGTCGACCGACGGACATATGAGCGCCAAGAGCAATCCGTCATTTCAGCTTTGAGGCCTCAGGCTACACCTGACTTCAAGGTGAGCAAAATGAGGGTGCCTGGGTTGGAGCAGGCAGGAGATCAGAGGAAGGCCTATCCGTAGTCACAACAAGCTAGCATCGAGTGGAGAGTAGCCGTTATCTGACGATGAATCCGATCTCTCCGCACAGCGCTCATAAAACAAGCTGCCAGAGTAACTCTCCGCCGCAATGAGCGCCAGATATTGCGGAGCCGGCGCTGACATGACATACAGTACCCACTGGTGGCAGTGCAGCGGGTCACTTTCCATGGTAGCACAACGCGGCGAGCTGACATATACTGAAAATGAGGCAGACACAGCGGTAGGCGACAGCGTCGCCGAGAGATCGACAAAGCAGCGTCGGGGAAATGGGAAGCTGACCTGAGCATCATGATGGATCACGTGGGTCTTTGATGAATCCCTACAGGCTTTCTTTGGACCGTTCACGACTCGGTATCGGGCATCGCACATCGTTCAAAGCTTACACAATTCATTTTCCAATGCTCGGGAATGCTTTCAGCGCGGTTACAGGTTTTGTCTTTGGCGGCGACTGGCGTACTTGAAGCACCATTGCAAGACCCGTTCTTTCGCTGACCGTGATCAGCTCAACCGCAGCCACCGATTCCGAATCTTGACTCAATTACTGCAGCCACAGGGAATGCTATACGGTATCTTGGTTTTTTTGACGAGCATTCGGAAGAATGGGTCCTCGAAGGCAGCGGGGTTAAAGCTTAGGTGACGATCCTTGCCGTAAACTCAGTTTGTGTCCGCATACAGGACGTCAAGTAAGACAAAACCTGGCCTGGATCTGATGCTCGGTGCACATCGCCGAGAGATGAGTAATGGCGACTGCATCCTTGATGCGCGTCTCGCTCATCCTCAGGGCAGGCATATTGAAACATCTGGTACGTCTCCGAGTTCTTCAATCTTGCCAATCATCGTGTTCATTGTCAAATGACTGGACCCATTCGATTCCAACAACTGTGGGTTGAACCCGAAGAATTCTCATCGATCTAGATCGCAATGAAAGTGCTTGAATGCACTGCAATGCAATCTGTGCATATCAAGTTGTACCTTAGAATGTATTCCGCCAAGCAGCATCCTGACATGTGACTGTTGCTCTCATTTTGTTTTGTTACTGCAGCCTGTGCTTGAGCAACGTGCGTCTCACGGTCCCTGATGTGAGACGCTAAGCTGCGAGTAGGGTCTATACATACAAACGCTCTTGGTAATTGTTCGCCATTCTGCCTTTCAGGGTGGTATGACTTTCAATGAGATTCATTGGCATCGGTGGCATAGGCTTTGCTGTTTCTGGTAGAAATTTCACCAGCCACCGGCATCTAGGATCTGATCGCAGCATGTAGATTCTCTTGGGTTGATATTTTGAGAAGGGAGGGCTGAGAAGGGCGCCGCCGTAAGGTGTGTTCTTGGAAATATCAAACTCTCCTACGGGGCGCAGAATACCGGTGGGCTTGTTCAGAAAGAAAAAAGACGTGATGAGTGGCAAGCCATAGTTTGGCGGAACCGTTTCCGATGTCAACGGTAACAGCTAGCCCATGTCGACCAATCGACCCGATCTCTTTCTAATTCAAGGGCTGTATGTATACCATCCTCGTGATGCGGCGTGCGGGTCCCTATAAAAACCTGACGGAGTGCAATTTCCATCTTCAAGCCAATCATGTTGCGCATTCTCTGTACCCTCCCTTTTCTTGCGGCGGCTATTGCTACACCGATTGGGTTGAGCGCCGATCTGGCTGCTCTGGACCAAATCTCCCTCACGATCACCGCTCTCGGAGTCTCCATCGCCGCTCTCCCGAGCTCTGGGCCGGCAAACTCAGCCCAGCTCGCTGTGCGTAGATTTTTCTGGCCGTCAATTATCGCCAGCATGTTGAGTGCCGAGAATTTAGCTTTTCCAGACCAGCATGAACAATCTTCGGAGTGCGGTTGATAACGCCGGGGCAGTGATGCTTGCAAACCCGCCCCAGAGGGATGATGAATGCGGCGTCACGCTCCCCCCGATTCAGGAGGTGTTCCCTGACAGATTTGTTGCTGCCTTCCAAGGTGCGACTATCAAAGCGGACGCGTTCGCATGTGAGTTCGCTAGTTCTCCCCCAGTGCGATTAAGTATATGTGGCTGATGTCTCTCTTAGCGGTCAACACCCAGGTGGCCGCGCAGGTGAATGCTCTGGGAGTGGAGACGGACGAGTATTTCGATGCTACTATTGACGCGTGTCCGGTAAGTCCCCCCTGGCTTTGAGACTAGACACCCCATGCTCACATGAATTGTAAGAGCATTAGCAATCCTTTGGGAAGTGCCAAGGTGGCGGTGGATGGGGCCTTGCAAGGTTTCACCGACGCGCTTGGCGTGTAGCGAACGTCCGGTGCTCCGAGTTCTATTGTACCACTAGTTCAACTGCCAGCAGAGATATGATGCATGTCTATGCATGTTGTCATTTCAATCATTATGTTCCATATGCGTCCCCGGCTCCCAGCCTCAGGAACATGAGAGAGTTCTCGCTGATTCTTCAAGTGCGATTCATTTCCACACATCTACTGCCTCCCGTTTTGGGGATCTTCACATACATCATCTTGATCGACTCGACAAAGCTGCATGTACCCAGGAATGTGCACCTCCCCGACGGGGACAGTCTCTCGGTTTACAAGCCAGCTGGAGAACGGACGAAGCACGGGCCGTCTGGTCATCACCTCATCGGTCGTCGAAATGATACATTCAAGGCTGGTATCTACATGGTGGAAGCCCATAGAGGCACCGCACGAGGCAGGGGTAGGCTCGGATCGCATGCCGCATCCGTTCCTTCGGACCTGCGAGAGTGAGTTCGAATCAATACTCGCTCGCTCGCTCTCGCATGCGACAAGTCCTGATCTCTCGAGCCCAGATCTTCCATAGGCTTCCCAACCGTATGTCGCGTCCACATCTCGCTCTCATGCTCAACTTGGTCTTTGGCTGCAGCACAAAAGACGATTGCCCGTCTTGACCGCGCGCCGGTCGAACTTTGAGGGGATCTCGTACGGCATCCCTCTCGACAGGCCAATGGCAATAAGTCTCGACGCGCAGGCACAGAACATTCGCGAGAAGCTGCATATGGAGAGATTCAGGGCGGCGGCACATTCTTGGACACAAGAGTGCCTGGTGCAGGGAAGAATCTCCTGAGCAGAACTGGTAGCTGAATGAGGTTTAGGCGCGTAATTATGCTGCGTATGGGAGGCGAACTATGCTCATGTGGCGGTCGCGTTCTTCTTCCCGTTGTCGTTCATACTCGTGATCATCTTCGCTGTAGCAGCGGAGGTCGGCGAACGCGATGCAGAGAAAGGTGATGGCTGGGAGGTAACTCGAATTTGAATTTTGTATAAATGTGGCGCATCAGTCACATGACCGTCACATGCCGATCACACCACTCAGTGACCACCGGTGATCTTACATTCAACACTTACTACCATGCACCTGGAAAACACGTTGCATGCTGATAAATCTCAGCTGGTCTCACATACTGAACTCGGCCTCCATCGATTTCATCCATGGTCCGCTTCTCGAATGCGCTCGTGCGGATCATACAGCCGCGAACGAAGCAGGCACCAGCGATGTCGACGAATGCGCCCACAGAGATACTTCAACAGGCGTTCATCACCTTCTTCCTACCCATACCGATGCACGTTCTAGAATGGCTGTCCGGGAGATATCTCCCCGACGCGATATATAGCTCACGTGGCGCGGATGTGGGTCGATGCCGCTGGGTTTTGTTGGGAAAGTGGAGGTCCTGCTTGAGTCCTGCTTTGGAGCTTGGACGGCTCCAACTGTCGTACGTTTCCCAACCAGGGGGGATACGAGGCAGAGGGATCTCCAGTGCCTGTACGATGCGTGGCTCGAGAGGATACAAAAGCCGTGCGCATTTCTGGCAGGCCGTCCCCATCTGCATTTCGCCCATGTTTCGCGCGCTCCTCATCTTCGCTTTCCTCGCTGTGGCCATCGCGAGTCCGGCGCCAAGGGGAGGGCCCGCTGACGTCATCAGCGCCGTCGGGGTCATCAAAGACAAGTGCACGGTGCTCGACAACGGTGTCAAGGACATCTCGTCCCCCGCGACCGGGACCCAGATCCTCGTGCGTGCCATCCACAAATTTGTGGCTACTGGAATCTCATGGCAGCCGCGGAGTTCAGAGTCTGGAGTTCAACGTGCTCGGTGTCCAGAACGCCCTGAAATCCGCGCAGCAGACCCTCACGGGTGCGACACTGAGCGCCACAGACTGCGCCACCTGGTCCGACGCCGTCCACGGCACCGTCCCGATCATCAGCACCACGCTGAATGACTTTAACGCCAAGAAATCGGCGTTGCCCAGCGGTGAGTATGGTCTCCTGGACGCCCACGTGCCTAGGGGTGCGGGGCAATCGTGCGTCGCTCTGAATTCAGCGCAGCTGTCAAGGTGGTGGTCTGCTCGAACGCCAAGAGCCTCCAGTCCTCGTGTGACACGTACATGAACTCGGCCAAAGGCTTGTGTCCTGTAGGTCCATGGAGGATGGATGACGCTGCGCTCCCCTGACTCGCTTCGCAGGAGCGCAAGGATCAATGGGTGTCCGACCAAGCGGCGCTGGACCAATCGTTCAAAGGGCTCCTGGATCCGAGTGGCTTCAATTGCGTGTGATCGAGTGACATGGGTCGCTGGGAGCTCAGATGATCAGCTGCCAAGTCAGAGTAGTCGATGCATGCCTTGTGATTGGCTCATGCGTATGGAGTTTGTAAATGGGAGAGTGGGGAAGTGAATGAATGTTTTGGATCTTTTGGAGGCGATGCAGCAGCGGGTGAGGTCGAAGATCTTTGTTTCGATGTTCGGATTCGCGCGGGCCTATTACTCCTCCCCCTTTTCAGCGTCCAAATTTCCGGCTTCTCTGAGCACTTTGCTAAGGAACAAGAAATGATGTCTGCGGCATCTGGAAAAATCATCCCGTCTCGGATCGCTGATATTCTTTCTTTGCCGGACATCAATGCGGTGATCTCTTGATATGTTCCTGCATCGTTTACATGCAAATTTTTGGGAGCAATCACAAAATGGAAAGTCACCAACATCATGTTTCCATCCACTGTCCCTCGTGCTCGCAGTGTCACGTCGCCGTGACACAGTCTCTGTGACGGGCTGTTCAATTTCATCCCCCTGTTCCATTGTCAAATTTTCTCAAATAATCACTGACGCCTACCTGCCGGAACACTACGCAGAGTTCAGCTGGGATCATAGTGCCAGTGATTGGCCGCCTCGACTGGGTACTCCCTCTCCCGCAGGAGCTTCTAAGGACGAAAGCACAGGAAGCTTCGATGGAATGACCCGAGCCATAGCACTAAGATTTAGGATAATGAACCATGGCTCTAGCCATAGAAAATCCATGATAACGTCTGGCTGTAGCCATGGCCGCTCCATGTGACATGGCCATCAATGCACGTGCCACAGAGCCCAAATAAGGAAATTACTTCAGCGTGAATTGAACGGTTGCCCTTCAAAAATCTCAAACCCATCTGATGCATAACCACTACACCATGCATCTGTTCAATCTCATGTCATTTTCCTCCATAGGTCGGGCACTTGAAATGCTTTGGGCACAAAGCCAGGTGAACTACCCTTACCACCTAGCCTTCCAACCAAACCAAGCCTAACCAAACCAGAACCTATCTCTAACCCAAACTTAACCTTTGAAAATGACAATATATGTCCCTAATCCTTAGCGCTAACCCTAGACACGAACCCTAACCCAAACCCTAACTGGCTAACTAGCGGGCCGCAGAGGCGCCCGCCTGTGCCTGCCCATCACAGAAGTTCCTAGATTGTCAGCCGAGTCACGTGCTGTGGTGATTGCATCGAATATCTGTAGCCTAACACCATGGCCCCAGCCATGCCATGGCTACAGCCATACATTATCATGGATTTTCTATGGCTACAGGCATGAATTATGCTAAATCCTAGTACTATGGGTGATGACCCGCATTCTGCTCCAACATCACGCATAGTGTCCCTCGGACGAAATTAATGGCCCGCTGCCGCTAATATCAACACGCCTTTTGAGGCGGGCGACTGAGCCGCGCGTCCCCCGGAGAAGGGGTCATTCCGGAGCTAGAACAGCTTATTCGGGAGGGTCGCGCATGGCATCAAGGTCCGGAGATTTCCCGTGCCGACTTGACGAGAGGGAATAAAAGCTGCTAATACCCAGGATCCACAGGCAGGTTCATGTTCCGCGCACTCTTCATCGCCGCCCCACTCGCCGTGGCCACCGCAGTACCGACTGCAACCACAGGGCTGACTGAAGTCGAGTCCACTCTCAAGGACCTGGGCAGCAAGTGCACGGCGCTCGATGACGCTGTGAGGGCTGTCCAGCCCGGCGCGGGCTTTTTACAGATGCTCGTGCGTGTCTCCTCAATTCGGCGACTCGGAACGTCCTAACCAATGGCTCTGGGGCGCAGAATATCCAATCCGATGTCGACGCTGTGCGGAACTCGCTCGACACCGCGTGGAAGACCCTTGAGGGATCACAGCTGGATGACGACGAGTGCGACGCTTTTTTCCAGCAGGTGCAGAGTTACGAGGGCCTGATCGTCGCCACCGTGGACGACATCGCCGCTCAGAAGGGCACCCTGGATAGTGCGTTTGACTGAGAGCTTGGACGAGCGCACCGCCTGACTTGAGTGCAGCGTACCATGCTTTTCTCTGCTCGGACGGCAGGGAACTCAAGGTTGGGTGCGACGGGTATCTGCAGACGGCCGCGGTTGTATGTCCGGTGAGTCGTTCCGAGGTGGTCCGGGGATATGATTTTCTGATTGTTGGATCGGCTGTGGGGCTTTGCAGAAACATGCAGATCAGTTGTCGGATGATCGAGTCACTCTGGACGGGGCTCTTCAGAATCTTCTCGGTCCAAATGGATACAACTGCTAATAATCCCGCGGTGATAGTCCGATATATGCTCACTGGGAATACAAGTGAATACATTAGCTTCTGAGCATGATGTACATCCAAGAGATACATCACAATATCAGAACGGGAGAGAAGCGCGCGAAAGGGGCCCGCAGAATTCGGCTGGTGTCGGAATGACAGAAACTGCGTGAAGTAAAGGACCGAGTGCAAGCAAGGAGCACTGTGCCAGTGAATGTACCGGGGAAGGTCGCGGCTAGTTTGACTCGAAACATCGGAGCCAGTATGGAATGGAATCCGAGGTTCATTCCTTTCGAGAACTGGTACAGAAGCAGACCCAAAGCCCCTCGGTGACCTTGATTGACCCGATCATTGCACTTCCGCCCTGAGCAATCTGCATCGCCACGATTGACGCCACAGGGCGACTCAGGACATGATATTTTTAGATTGGGATGACCGGGAGGATGCAAATCCGAGGTAGTTTACTGATACCCCTCACTAGCCCTATTCTATTAATCAAGTTTGAACAATAGCCCTTTGTGAATGAATGTTTGAGATGAAGCATCGTCTAACGGCACGATGTTGAGTCTACAGACTCAGCGCTGCGGCAGCGATGTCGAATATCTTTTCCCCTACAATGGAGAGGGGGGTCCTGTCAACAAAGTCTCTGCTGAGGCAAGCGTCGCCCGAGGGGGACGTGATGTATCCAGGGAGACAACGGTGGACAACACATCCCCCGGAGATGCACGAGACGTCAGAAACATGTGGGATTGTGGTGCAGTCGACGCCAGTGGACTGGCCCGTGAGGGAGGACGAGATGCCCGAGGCACAGCCTCCGCCTGCATACTTGTTAGACAAGAGGCACCAGAATCGGGCTGAGATGACACTCACAGCTCTCCAAGTCCCTCTGCACATCGACACACTCCCACGCCCGGCGATCAGCCCCGGGGACACCACACGCCTGCCAGCCCTGCTCGCAGGTACGCTGCACGCGGGCGCCCCAGTAGTCGGGCTTCGCCTCGGTCGGCACACTGCGGCGTTTGCGGCCGAGTCTCGCCGTCGAGCACGCGCGCGCGCAGGTGTCGCCGCAGTCCTTGTACCCGTCGTGGCACTTGTACCCGCACACGTTGTCGCGCGAGCAGCTGGGCGCGGAGAAGTCCGGCCGGTCGCAGTCCGATCTCGACTCGGCGTTGTGGACCTGGAGGAGACGGGGTGAGTGAGGCACAAAGGAGAAGAGGTCGACGGGAGGCGCACCATCTGCGTGAGCGCGCCTTTGATGAGATCGACGTCGAAGAAGCGGGCGAACTGGATGATCGGGTTGTTGCTGTTCTGGATCAGCGAATCGAGCTCGCTCATGCAGAAGCAGAAGTTGTCTGCGCGACATTACTCAGCGACCGAGGAAAAAGACACATCGACGGATTCTCACCAGACTGATGGAACGTCCCGCAGGATACACCGGCGATGTTCAACGGCCCGGTGGTACAGGCACAGGTGTCTGAGGACGACGAGGTGCGGGTTGCGAGGCCGTCGATGACGGCGGCACGAATAAGGCCGACGCAAGAGAGAGCAAAGGCAAAGGTGGAGAACTTGAACATGATGGCAAGGAGAGTTGTGCGCGCGGCGGCGGCGGAGGGGATTGGTCTCGGGAGGGAGGGAGAGGGGAGGGAAGTGTGGTCGGTGAGTCGACAAAAGTGACGAGTCCACAGACAAAAACTGCCCGCAGTCTTTTATCTGGGGCACAGTGTCTCGCGGATACAATATGTCTGGAATGCTGCGACAACCTGGAGGAGAAATGAAGCGGCCAGTCCCCGGGTAAAACTCTGCCGGTCTGAATCGGAGCAGCGATCCAGGTGCTCAGGAGAGAATTGGAATTGAGAGTATCGTCCATTTTTCGGGCAGGAGACGGGCGTAGAGATGACGAGGAAGGAGGCGTCACAGCCACCTCCTTGAAAACATGCCACTCCGGGGTCTCCGAGGACCGACCTGATCATATTTCACGTGATACGTTTGTAGCTCTCAGGCATGACATATCAACCAGGAACTGCTATGTACCGCGGATGCCTGCTGTATTTCTCTAGATTTCCCCTAAGACGTTGCGGTGAGTCCTACCATTGACATAATAGCCAAACACCGAATCTCGATCGATCGAAGATCCACTGACAAGGTCCATCACACATTCTCGGGGTAAGTACGCTGTCTGCACTTGGGACGACTCAGTTTTCGTGGACACGGACAACGCAGCTGAAAACGTTGTAGCAGAAGCGTTGCGCGGGGGATGCGGGATGAGGCGAAGATGATCAGCTCAGCATCGATCGACTCGTCTTTGAGGATTCCCTGCAGTCACCGTCTTCTGTGAAGTTTCGAACTTCGGGACCCTGGCCGTCTGTGTCGATCTCCGGCCCGGTGATCACTAATGACGTTGATGCTCGAATTCAGTGCATATACGGGATGAGTTCTTCACGACTGCAAATACTGTATCACAGATTTTGTCCCAGTGATATCCTGCAAGCTGAATCCATCTCCTCAATTTTTTCTATGGGAGTCCTAGGCATTCTATTTGTGTTGCCCGAGATTCAGCCGCTTCAACTAACATAAGAGCGTGAAACTCTCATCGGATTCAGCTTCCAACGCCTCTACGTTCAAAAGCAGGCCAGGGATTCGATTCCACCTTCTCTTCCCGGCCGCCAATCGCGTTCATAACATAGACTTCGCAGCCTACCTGGCCTACCCCAAAGTGGTCTGATCCGCTCCTTCCAATGTGTGCCGAGATTGGTGGGGGATTGTGACTGAAAACGTTGATGCGCCTGCCTGTCACTGTCACCGTAATTCAAGTTGTCCTTCCCCGCAATTCACAGAAGCGCGTCAAAGTACTTATAAGTATGTGAGGCGAATAATCGGTTCGTTCGTTCGTTCGTTCGTTCCCTCCTCCATCTTTCCCCCCTCTCTCGTCGATCCGTTCGCCCTTGTGTCTTCCCCTCGCTCGCTTTCTGACCCTCTTTCGTTACACCACGCGCAGTTCCTCTTCATAGCTTTGTATGCGACTCTTCTTTTCTTCATCTTCTTCCCGTTTCTCTTCCTTTCTTCGCCTCTGTCTGTGTCGATGGGGCGATGGTTTATCGTGCATTTCTCGTTGTGCCTGGCCAGTCTCGACTGTCGACGACGCGCGCACATCCCATGATCTACTTGATGGGCGCATATACTTATGCTGGATCACACGCATATACCCACTGTTTTCACACCCCTTCTTATCCATCTCTTCGTTGTTCTCGCGCACTGCTCCCTTCGTCGTCTATACGCACGATCACTCACTCAGCCGCAGACGTGTTCCTTCGAAAATGCAGCAGCAGCAGCAGCACCCGCCGCCACCGCCTCCTTTGGCTCTCCCGTCCCCCATCGTCCCACTCTCCGCCTCTCCTTCTTCCATAACCTCTGCCTCGTCAGTACCCGTTCAGCCGCCGCCACCCGCGAGTCAATCAGCACCGGCCCCTGGTGTCACCACCAGCAGTAACAGCACTACCGCTAATCCAAGCGGGACACTCGCTTCGTCTATCTGGGCTCCACAGCCCCATGCAGGCGACCCCATGTGGCCTCGTGCGCTGGACGCGTACGTTTCTCACCATCAGCAGCAGCAGCAGCAAGGCTTCGGGCTCAGTGTGAATCCCCCTGCGGGTGCCGGAAATGGACGGCGGTACGCGCCTGCGCCGGGATACGGAGAAATCGGCGGCGGGATGGTCGGCGGAGACGATACCAGCATGAGCATGGGTATGATGAGTCTGCGGGATGATTCGAGTGTGCGCATGCGTTTCTATCCATTCGACGATCTCGCTTGCGTTTCGCTCATCCATCTATATAGCACGTGGAGCAACTCCTGCGCACGCTCAACCTGAACTCGCCGTCCCCGCCGCCGTCGATGCACCACGGACAGCCGAACCAGCAACTTACGTCTCCCCGCCATCCAGTGCACGGCTATGCGTCCCAGCTCTCTTATTCTCCGCATCGACTTCCATCTCAAGCTCAACCGCAAACGCCCGGCTCAGCGCGGTCCTCCTCTTCCTCGTCGCCCAGCAGCGCCGGCAAGCGCGGCAAGCCTCCGATGCTCGATCTTAGCTTCGCGTCGTCGACCACCTCCACGTCATCGTCTTCCGGCGCGAACACCTCTGGTTCCGGCTCCTTCTGCTTGTCGTCCGACTCGAACACGAGCGGGACGTCCGGTACGAGTGGGGATGAGGAGGGTGGATGCTTTGCGTATGGGGGTATGAATGTCGGGACCGGGATGGGTGCCGCGCCGGTGTCGCCCGGGTATGTGTATCAGCAGCAGCAGATCCAGCAGCAGATCCAGCAGGAGCGGCAACAGCATGTTCCCATGGGTGCATACACTCAGCACCAGGTCCAGCAGCAGCAACCTGACTCGCCGGCGTCGGACCTGTCTCCGTTGGCGCTGCTTACGCCGCTAGACTCGCCTGGGCTGGGCGGCAGCGCCGGGTTCGCCGTGAGCACTGGGATCGGTGGGCCAGGAATGGGCTTGGGCTTGGGCGGGTTGGGGGGCTCCTTCGGCTCACCCACGAGCCATGGACTCGGACTCGGCCAGCTTTCGCCGTCAGCGTCCTATCCTTACCTCAAGGAGCGACTCTACACTACCGGCAACAACCATCACTACGGCGTGAACAACAACGCATACGAGCTGGATCCGCCGTCGCCGGGTCATTTGTCGGGACTGCCGCCGCTGACCAGCACTGGCTCTGGTCTGGGGTCGTTCGGCTCTGGAGCTGCTTTGGGTGGGCGGTACGGATCGGTGTCGTCTGTTCCACTTACCCCGCCTGGTCTCGGGTTGGGGATGGGATTGGGGCGGGACAGTGGGGAGAGCGGACTGGGGATGGGATTGAGTGCCAGTATCCACGCCAATAATGGGCCGGATCTCCGCCAGGAGAATGCCTTGTTCGGGTCGGAGTACCTCGGACGACGGGGAGCAGCAGCACGCCTGCACCATCAGCCACAGGGCGATTGGATCCGGACGGGAGAGTTTCTAGAGGGGGGTGCTGCAGAACATCAGAGGAAGAACCAGATCTCCTCGGACTGGGATGCGTTTGGAGTGGGGCATGTCAGAGAGCGGACTGGCGCCGAGGTTTGTTCGACGAGATCTGCCTTCGATCTCATCTCATCCTATCTTCACAGCCGATCAACTTTTTGTCTCTGCTGCACCCGTCGTCCTCGCCGCCGTACGCGTCCTTCGTGTCGCGGATCATCAAGAGCGCCGACCAGCAAGCCAGTATATTCTTGCAACAGAAGCTGAAGGTGGCGGGGCCTGAGGAGCGGGGGCGTATCGTGGACGCGATCTGCGCGCGCGGCGCGGAGATGATGATGCATCGGTTTGGAAACTGGGCCGTGCAGCGCTGCCTCGAGGCAGCGGGCAGTGCGGACGAGCGCAGGCGGATTGTCGGGTGTATGCGGTATGTCTTCATCCAACTTAACGCTTTGTCGGGTGCTAATCTGATGTTGTCATCAGTGGTCGGGTGGTGGATCTCGCGACCAATTGCTACGGGTGCCACGTGCTGCAAAAGGCACTAGACTGCGACGAGGAGGACGTGCGGCTGCTGATTGTTTCTGAGCTCCTCCTGGGCGATCCGGCTGCGACGCTGGTGAACAAGCACGCTTCGCATGTCTGGAGCAAGGTCATGGAGCTCTCGTGGACCCCGCCCGCCCCGCCCATCTTCGCCTACGTCAACAAAGCTCTCAAGGGCAAGTGGGCCGCGCTTGCCTGCCATGAGACCGGGTCGCTGGTTGTCCAGGTGTGTCGCTTGACGACCCTAGACGTTCGTAGGATGGAGACTAATCTTTGGTCAGCACGCTTTTGAAAATCTGGAAGATGCTGCGAAGGACGGGATCGTGGATGAGCTGTTGGGACAGGGCCCCGCCGTGTTTTCGGAGGTTGCCAAGAGCCAATGGGGCGCGTATTGCGTCCAGCACAGTGCGTTCTCACTACTCGTGTGCTGATGCTATGTGCTCCCCTTACTCGACCAGTTCTAGAACACGGCTCGCAGCAGCACCGGCTCAAGACACTCGAGCATCTTCTGGGCGGGCTGCTCGAGTTTGCGACGAACGAGCAGGGAAGCAAGAGCGTCATGAAGGCGCTCAAGGAGGGTGGCAAGGACACCCTCGACCGTATCGTTCAGCGCATGTGCGAGCCTGCCAAGGGGTTCGTCAAGGTCTGCCTGAATGTCAGTCACTTTTTTGCTGACACATCTTCAGTGCCTCTCGTCGTGCTCTGATCGTCGACCTCGCCCTGTCGCTCACCGGGAGCCAGCTCATCGCCAGCGTCCTGCCCGCTGCGGACAAGGATCAGCGTGCCCTGCTCTACGATTGTATCCGTGGTCACATCGTCACGCTCCGTGGCTGCAAGACTGGGTCCAAGGTCATCTGGTTGTTGTGAGTGGCGTTCGCAGGCTTCTTCTCGATCTGATGTGACGATATGCAGTGACCGGATGCGTGCTTACTACGGGTATTGAGTGGGTACGTCGCGTGTTTCATGAAGTCCAATGCCGATGACGCTCATCGTTGTTTGTTCAGATACGCTCGCCCAACTTCTTATCTCGGTCTCCTTGAATCAGAACTCGACTGGAACTTGCTTTGTTTTTACTCATCGAACGATATTGGAATCATGCATCGTCTGCCACATCTGCGTTTTGCTCCCATGCGCACCGGTTTATCTCTTACTCATCATCATCATCATCACGAACTGTCTTCGCATCATCATCATGAACTGTCTCCGCATCATCCTGAATTCGCATCCATCGTACTTATCACATACATACAGAAATAATGCATACATCCTCATACATACATTCATACATAACATACATACTTAGATACAGTTATCAGTTACAATCAGTTAGTTAGCTAAGTACGTCCCAAGTAGAAATCCAGAGCCATTGCTTGCCATGTAATCATCGCAGTCTGTGCACACTCAGGAAGTTCATCTCGTGGGATGACTGATCTCTCTTTTTCTTTCCACCCTAGATCTACAGGCACTTGATTTATTCCATGTCAAGCTCAGCTCAATATCGCCCCTCCATGTTACAGTGGGCGCCTAGCGACCAAGTCTCCGGAGTTTTGGTACATGCCGACGCGTCATAGAGGACGGATCACGTGTCCGCGTTCAGAAACGCGTGATCGTCCCGGCGTTCTCCGAGTGGCGGCTCGAATCTGCGGCCAACACTTGGACCTCACATCGTGGCACCAGCACTGTCTTGTCTGCCTCGCATAACATTTCATATGTGTGGTTCTTGCGCGCCGGTGGACGCCCTGGAACGCTTCTCTGTGATGCGAGCTTCAATCTTCACCCTGGGCTGACACATTACGGATCTCCGTCGAGAGCTGATGATCCGGATTCCATGCGGGGAAACGCACGGAGAGTATTTCTTCACAGAGGTGAGTCAGATTCAGAGGCAAGGGACCCTCCCCCTCTCTCTCTTTCTCTCTTTACTCTCTCACCGTGTTGGCTTCACGGCGATGGCGGCACCGGCACATGCAGACGAAAAGCAAGGCATGGCAGAGTCCAAGGGAGGTGCGGCATCTGAGCGCGAGATGGTCGCATTTCCGGAGGGCGGAATGCAAGCCTGGGCCACTGTGTTCGGGGTGTACGTGATTTCAGTGTAACTGTCTTCCAGGACACTCAGTGCCGCTCCTCGATCTAGGTTCATCATCCAGTTCTGCGGCTTCGGGTGACTGGGACATTACTGCCTCCTCGCTTCGCCGGTTCTCACCGCCATCCTTTTCCTCTGTGTAGATACTCCACCGCGTTTGGCGTGTTCCAAGGTACTCGCTTGCCCTTCTCCTCGCGATTCGCACTGGACGTGGCGTTCATCGATCTGCAGATTTTTACGTCCGAGATTACCTTTCCGAATCTTCCGCGTCGGCCATCTCGTTCGCCCCTTACCTCCTTCTCAGAGTCCGGACTGCGCTTTGATTTCGATGCAGGTGGATCGGGAGTATGAATGGCTTCCTGGGCGTCGCTTCGGGATTGCTCGCGGGCCCGTTATACGATCGCGGGCATTTGTGAGTCTCGCGGTTGTTTTCGCACGACGCAAAGCTCTGTCTCTGATTATTGTCCGCTAATCAGTCGTTTGTTGATCTACTCTGGATGTGCGCTGCAGGCCGTCAGCATCTTCCTGCTTTCTGTGTGTCAGAAGCAGCAGCTGTATCAGGTGCGGTTGTGAACGATCACCCCGTTTGAGTTGTGCGAATTCAACTGTTCCTTTCCTCGTCCGCAGATCTTCTTGACGCAAGGAGTGCTGAACGGCCTGGGCGTGGGGATCGCGTACATCCCCTCCGTGGCCGTGATCTCGCACTACTTCCAGCGGAAGCAGGCGCTGGTGATGGCCCTCGTAGCCGTCGGATCGCCCCTCGGTGCGCTCGCACACCCGATTCTGCTGAACAACACGCTGCACACCTCGCTGGGCTTCGCCAACTCCGTCCGCATCAGCGCGGGGATCAACACGTTCCTGCTGCTCGTCGCGTGTGCGCTTGTGCAGCCGCGGCTGAAGGCGATGCCCGAGGCGGGTAATGTGCCGATCTTCATCGGGCGGATGAGGAGGGATTGGGGGTACATCTGTGCGACCATCGCGTGAGTTTCCCCGTCGATCGGCCGATCTATGTTTGCTCAGTCGCGCTTGTGACCCGCAGGATGCCGTTATTCAGCGTCGCATTCTGGTATCCGCTGTTCTTCATCCAGCTCGACGCCGTCACGCATGGAATGAGCCAAAACTTTGCGTTCTACGCCGTGGGTCTCGTTCTCGTCTTCAAGTGTCCCAGGCATTCACGGCATTCTCTCCAGCTCGTGATCTTCAATGGGGCCGCGTCCGTCGGCCGTCTCGCTGCCGGTCCACTCGCGAGCTGGATCGGCATTCTCGAGATCGTGACGTTCTCCGCGTTCATGGGATCGGTTCTCATTTTCGGCATGATCTCGCTAAAGACCGTGGTGAGCGTGGTGATGATCTCGATCGTCGATGGGTTCTTTGCCGGGGTCGGTGAGTCCGTCTCGGTACCGAAACTATCTTGTGGCACGTTTCTTACTGATGCGACACGCACGCCAGTGAACGCGCTCCTGCCGCCAATGCTGGCATACCTCACAGATGATCCAGCCGAAGTTGGGTGCGGTCATGTTGGTTTCATGATTCTCACGCTTGGAATGACCATGCGCACAGATTGAGGATGGGTGTATCCTTTTCGATAGAGGGCATTGCGGAACTCGTCGGTGTGTGATACAGCTGACAGGTTCAGAATATCTAGACTGAACTATCGCGATGCATTTAGGTCCTCCCATCAACGGAGCCCTTCTTGGGTCAACCCTGGCGGCATACCAGTGGTGGAAGCCTGCTGTGTTCAGTGGGGCAAGTCCGCTTCTTTAGTTGGCAAGAACTGTGTTTCTGACGAACCTCTAGATCTCGGGCCTCGCTGGGGCGTTCCTGTTTCTCATGTCCGTGGTCTTCGACCGGAAGAAACATCGTCTCCTCAAGTTGGAGAAGTCTCGTCGCTTTGCGCAGGAGAATAGCACCCGCCCATTAGAACCGACGGGCAACGAACATCAATTTCCCGTCGAGCGCGATGGTGTTGGGGCTGTGGGGCAGGCCTGATCAAAATCTACACACAACAATTTCGGGTTGTGACTTCTGAAATGGTTGGTTCATACGAAACGAACGAACCAAAACCTAGATCTCTTTTCATTACGGGAAATTCTGTCGATTGCGGTTTTATGATGGATGTAGAATTCTCTGGTGTTTTCTGGGGATGTATGTTGCTACATGTAGTATTCACAAATTGGTGTATTCAGGAAAGGCATCGAACTCGAGCGTTTTCCACGCGTCACAAGTCGTGCATGAGGTGTATGACTCTGTTACCTGCTCATGTGTTATGCAGGCATGCAATGACGCGTATCGTTTACAAATGAAGTGCAAGTCATCGACGAAATCACCTACACAGTAGCACGTGATCGCGTCATGGCCAATGCATGATCACCTTTGTCCCGGCGTGTTTACACCCTCTCTTTATACCCCGACAGACGCAAAACCGCGATGCTCGTCCCGCACAGGCAGCGATGCTCGCGCATCTGCTGTCCTCCCACGAGCGGGAAGGTCTGAGCGTTCTAGTCCCCTCGAACGGTCCCAGAAGGACCCGCCTCTAACCCGGGCGAACGGCGTACCAGAAATCCGCCCAGCCGCTCACATCTGCCCGACGACCGGCCCCTCGGGCGTCGCGAGGGCGTGGTGGCATAGGCCTGAAACCTGCGTCGTGGGACCGGGAGGCGCGCATGTCCTCATCTCGACCATCCGCTGCCCTGTCTTCCCATAAATCCGTCCTTCGTCGGCCCAGGCCACACTGCTGCTTCGCGCGCACGCACGTGGATCCGGGTGCAGCTACCGGGGTGCCACACCTGGCGTCTGTTCTGCGCCCGGAAGACGGCCAGACGTACCCTGTCCTCGCGCGGGGCAGCGGGGAGAGTCGCTCTCCGCCCATCGCCGCTCTGACGCGCCGGCGTCGGCGCCCGTGCTGTTACCTTTGGGTCCAGCCATGTGGTTAGCTTGTCCGGTCGCGGCCCGCATGCACAGCGCACGCCGGGTTCCAGACGGCGGTACTGCTGCGTCGGTGGTGTCCGAGTTGGCGCGGATGGGGGGCCGAGACGCAACCTGCCTGGCATGCTGTGCAAGTCCTGTGCGGACTGCGCCGGTGGTGTCGACTTTGGCTCGCGGCGGGAACACGGATGGGATGGGATTGGGCGGCGGCGCGTGCCTTCCTTGAGTGCACTTTGCGGTGCGCGGGCTTGCCCCGTGTAACTCGATTCAGACTACTCTGCGTCTGTCGGGGTTGGGCTTCCAATTTTTTACTTCTGTCTGGCCTCTTCGGGGGTTCCTGTTTTGCGGTGACCGGGGAGTTTATGGTGCGTTCTTTACTTGTAAATCGGGTGCTTCCGCTGAGGTCCTTTTGCAGTCGGCCCTCTCCACCTTGGTGCATGTCGGTTCGATGTTCGGACTGACTGTCGAGTACATCTTTACCATGTAGGAGCGGCACGATGCAGAAAATATGACTTTCATCGCTAATGTACACGGTTCCTATGTTCTACTCAACCTCTTTCGATTGGTGTTTGCCCGTAGCTTCAAAGTATCTGCGATTATCAACCTAAAAACGAGCCACACTTTTGCATTTCACAGTACGCCGTCGAGCTACACATCATCCCGGTACCTGATATGGATGATCGCTATACCGACTTCCAGCCGCCGTGGTCCTGCACTTCCCACGCAACTCCGCCGCAATCCACGCCATTCCGACGAAGACACGGTCTCTGGCTCCGCCCTGCCGCCAGTATCCGTATCCTCGGCAGAGTTCAAACCTGCTGGACCGGCCAGCTCCGACTGCGAATCATTCCCCGAGTCACGCTCGTCATTGTATGGAGCTTCTGGGCTGTCCGGTGAGGATAGCACATCGTCGTCCTCTGCGCGCAGAGCAGACGGGGGGAGCTCGACGCCCTCGAAGTTGAGATGGCGCTCAAGCTCGGCTTGCGACTCGAAGGTGCACGGGGCGCTGGAACGAGCGCAGCGCTTGCACTGGTTGCGGCCGCTGGCGGAACACCGGGCGACGCGCTCGGCGATGCAGCGGTCGCACTTACGTCTTGCGGAGATCAGAATAGGATGCATTGGTGCAGCGAGGCGCTGAGTGGGATATGGGTGGGCGGGGATGAGCTTGTTAGTCCTGCCGGTGATTGCTGCGCCTTCTCTTATATTGCCCTACGGAACCATTGCCATCGCCAGCTCTTTGGGATTGTTGTGGGAGACAATAACAGGAAGGGCCCAAGCGGCCAAGAGCACTCAGCGAAACGGGAGAGGATTTGGATGACCATCACGCATTGACCTGCCACCGCCCGCACTCCATGTCGCCTGACTCCCAAAACAACAGCGCGTGCTATTGTTAGCCTCCAAGCTCGTGTCCACAGGACTCTGCGCTTTGTGTTCATAAGCAGTATATGACTGCATATATGCCTGGGTGTCTTCTCAGAAATCACCAGCGCCGACTGAATTGATACTCACCCATCCCTCTTCATCCACCTCGTCCCACTCAGCCCATGTACCGGTCCACCACCACGTTTGCGAAGCCTACGTGCGACCGCTGCGCGGACAAGAAGACAGGGAAGTGCACGTTCAAGGGACGCCGCGATTGCACGCAATGCTCTCGCGCAGGCTTGCGCTGTGTGTGGACGCGCCAGCCGGAGGTCGTTGCGTCGCTGGATGAACCTGCGAAGAGGGAAGCACACAATCCCATAGCGTACGCGGAGGCAGCGAAGGGTGTCTTGGGCGGCCGAGACTTGCTCTGTCCCCCACCGACCAAGCTGGAAGAGATGGCATGGCCTCAGTTGCAGCGGCCAGCAGCCAAGACACCGTTGGAGGAGGGGACGATGCTGGAGGAGGAGGAGGATTTGCCCAGCCTGGTTGCGGATACGAAGTCGGATACCAGCGAGTCGACGGCCGCGTCAGGAAGCGGCGGAGTCAGAGCTGCTGTAAACTGGCATCCGGTCTGGGGATGGGGTATCGACTGGCACTTCGATGAGGAGTGACCATTTGCACGTAGCGTATTTCATCCTGTCCTCGTGACGGCCTGAGGTTTGGCGCCTAGCGCCACAGACTGGAGACTGTGCAGATTGTAAGGAGGAGAACATCCGCTATGGAGCACTAGAGAAGATCATAAACATGTACAAGCACAGGAAAGCAGCCGAAGTTGCATAATACCTTCGCCATCTTCCCTCATCCAGGGCCGACTCGATGCCCCATATTTACGTACAAGCGTCGACTTCGAGCCGTTATCGAGCGGCTTATCGGGGACCCTGAAAGAGCTCAGTGCACGGACAGCTCCCCTCTTCCCAAGCCCCCGTTCCAGAGCAGTGGTGAGCTCGCTGATTGTCAACTCTATCGCTTCTTTGTCCCTTCTTGACTCGTGACAAACGATGTGGAATGATTGAAACATTTTCCAGGCATCCTATTCGTCTTCCTACATCAACTGCAGCACAGAGAGAACAAGAACCGACTGTAATCTCAGGCCGCAGGAGTGGTCCACTGGGGAGGCCGAGACTCCGCGCAGACTCTTGACGGATGACGTTTCATTCCCCGGTGTACCGGTTGTGGTTCGTTGGGATCCCTCCGCTGCGTCGCTTGGTTCTTCGTGTGATACGTCAACGAGCAGCCTGCCTCCTTCCGCCCCACCATGGCGCCTGGGTCGTCGAGCTCTCGCCAGCGCTCCTACGATTACGACTCACTCGACCCGCACTCTACGGCGCCGACAATGACCGAGCATTCCCCACTGCTTCTGTACGACACGACTCTCCTTTCATACGACACGAATCCCGCGCGCGGCCAATCGGTGTCGGACGCCCACGGGCACGGCGGGGACCCATGCGAGCAGGATCCTCCCCGACAAATCACACCAAGCGGCCTTGATACCATCATCACTAAATATATAACTGACCTTCGCCAATGCATCCGCTTTCCGGAAACGCTCGTCCTTGCGAACACGGCTAGCACCGCTCGCGACCACCTCGCGTCCGAGCGCACGTTCCTGGCGTACATCCGCACGGGGCTGAGCATCGCGTCCGCTGGCGTCGGTACGCTCTAGGCGCATCGATGTTCGCGGTTTCGAGGCTGACACTCGGCAGCATTAGCGCAGCTCGTCTCGAATTACGTCGAGGAGCTCGGCATCTCCGGTCCGAATTTCACGCGCTACATGATTGGCCTCGCCGGGAGTGCAGTTGTCCTCGGGCTGGGTGTCATTTTTCTGGGTGCGTGGCGGCATCAAGTGTCCAGTAGATAGGTCTGACTGACTGTGGGATGCATAGGTTCTAGCCGATACTTTGCCATCCAGAGAGCGCTGCTTGATGGACAATTCCCTGTGACGCGGTTTTGGATAGGGGGCATCGCATTTCTTCTGGCCATGTTGATATTCATAGCCTTCACTTTGCTTATCGTATCTTGAATGGATACATGCACTCGTTTGTGTGCTTCGGTTGTCTCTCACAAGAACAGACGTTTGGAAGGCTGCAGGGGCCGAGCAGGCCGTGCTCATCAGCATGCAGTGAACATCGTCCGATTCCATGATTGCGAAGGCTGATAGATGATGAGCACCCGCACCTACTTAGACGTGAACCAGGGCGAATTAGGTGACACATACATATGGCGAAGTCAGTCAATATGAGATTGAGTAAAACTCCAACGTCTGCACACGACCCCCATGCTTGCTCCGCTTTATCTTAGAGAGCTCGGCCATAACTTTACTCGTGTCTACAGAATCATGGCTTCATGTAGAGCTCGCAGCTCGACTGGAACTGTCCCGTGATGTGCCTCATGAACTTCCCAGGAGGCGGTGTCTGGATCAAGAGGGAAACATCTGGACGAGGAATTGCCTCGGGGATTAACTAACTTGAAAAGCTGGGATGTTCATCTTACGGTGATTGTATTTTCGCCGGCCACGGCCAATGCGGGTTTCTAGACAAGGATGAGGCGCCTGGCATAGGTCACCACACATCTCTAGGAACCTGTTCAGTCGCGCCCGTCTGCGTGTTCTTCCGTGTCGAAAATCTGATCGCTTCACACTATGATTTACCTCATACTTACTGAACTGCTCAGGGGCTGAATTGTTCAGAGTTCTATCACGTGACAAGAAGCAGGACAGAGAAGCGGTGCTTCTCTCCGGCCTCGCACACTGTTCGTTCCGCGCACGGTGGCTTGTCTGGGAACGTTTGGCTTGAGAGCATCCATTGTTCAGCAGAGTTTTGTTAAGTTGGTAGGCCGGCCTACGAAGGCCATCGGTCCGTTCGCCCAATCGAACTGAAGCCCGGTCCGAGCCTGTCTGCCGGACCTGCAATGTGCATTCGACGAAAAAAATAATGTCCAGTCCCAGACCTCCTGAGTGCCATGTCCAGCGTCAAGGAACAAGTTTTTTGGGATCACGTGTTTGTGCTCGATTGGATATTCATTTCGCCGTCGGACATCATCCTATCGGCTTATCAGCGGGTGACTCATCGGGAACGCGCTTGGCTTCGCCAGCTTCCTTCGCTCTCTCCGTTCATACCCACCGTCGAGCGTTGCAGGGGGCACCGACCAGAGCTGAGATCAAGTGCAGGTTCGTTTCTTTTGTGCCATAGACGCCCAGCAGCCATCTGACCAGCGCACTTAGACGGCCGACACACACCATGACGAGCATCACCCCGGCGTCGCCGCGCAAGCGCACCCCGATCCCCAAGCTGCAGCTCTTCATCCTGCTCGCCATCCAGTTCACGGAGCCCATCACAGGTGCCGCCGCCCCCATCACACCCACACGCTTCAATCCAGATTGATGACGGGCGCAGCGCTCGTGATCTACCCCTTCATTGTCCAGTTCGTGCGCGACACGGGCATCACCGGTGGGAATGAGACGAAAACGGGATTCTATGCTGGTCTGCTGGTGCGTGAGCCCCACACCCATATACATCCCTCTGTTTTCGGCAGCCGTGGCTCATCGCGAAGTCCAGGAATCATCGTTCTTCCTAGCGGAGGGGCTGACGGTGTTCCAATTCGGTCGGCTATCGGACATCTATGGGCGGCGCCCGCTGCTGCTACTCGCGCCGCTGGGGCACGGCTTGTCGATGCTGGGATTCGGGCTGTCCTCGCGCTTCTGGACGCTCTTCATCTTCCGGTGTTTCCTCGGCGCGTTCAATGGGAACATCGGTGCGTGCGCGTCTGGGGTGGCATTGCTTCCGGATGACTAAATGCATTCTAGGCGTCACTAAAACGGCAATGAACGAGGTGCTTAATACACAGCCGTTCGGTGTTTATGTTAGCCTGAGAACTGACTCGTTTAGATCTCCGACTCTACGAATGTCGCCGATATCTTTTCGATGAGTCCTATTGCCTGGTGCTTGGGGTCGACTATGAGGTATGACGTGTTTTACTATCTCAGCCCCAGTGTAGCTTATCGGCCCCAGTCCGTTCATCGGAGGAACGCTAGTGGACGCAGCGAAGAAATGGCCCGATACGTTCGGGAAGATCGAATACATACGAAACCACCCGTATTTTCTTCCTTGTGCGGTGGCGACAGCCATATCCTTCTTTGTGTTTGGCATCGCATTTGTGGGTCTGAAGGAGGTGCGTCTCGTTACATGCTCTGCCCCTTATTTCATTTCACACCCACATTCAGACACTCCCGTCCGCCCTGCGAAAATCTCGCGCGAGCAAGACTATCCCGTCCCCAATTCCCAACGAAACAGATCCGCTCCTAGCGAGTGCGCCTGAGCCAACACCTGTTGATCAGGAGGGAGAGCTCCTTCCTGTCTCGCAACTGTTCACGAAACCCGTCCGGGTCGCCCTGCTCAATATCGGCCTTCTCGCGTTCTGCGAAATGTCTTCCAGTGCCCTCCTGCCTCTGGTCATTATTTTAACTTGTGGCTTCACTCCATCGCTTATCGTTTCGCCATAGATGTACGCGACATCGGTGGATCTGGGCGGTCTCGGACTGGAGTAAGTAATCTCGTGACCGCCTCCCACCCGCTTTCTGATCAGGCCGCAGACCGAACACGATTGGCCTGATGATGGGTCTGGCCGGCTTCAGCAACGCCATCATCCAGATGCGGCTGGGCGGCAGCGTCATCCGGTACTTCGGCGCGCGGCGGCTGTTCACCATCGCATTCGGCGCCATCGCACTCAACATCGCCATCTACCCGCTGCTCAACTTCCTCGTGCGCCGCTCCGGCGGACACATTGACGGGTGGGTCATCATGGTGTTGGTCGTGCAGCAGGTCTGTCCGTGCCTGATCGCCTCCGCGTATGGTGCGTCGTCCACATGTTTGCCGTCCGCGAGCAGGGCTGACGAAACCAGCCTCTACGATGCTCTTCGTCGTCGAGGCGTCTCCGAATCCGGCGAGCATCGGCAGCGTCAACGGGCTGGCGCAGATGGCGTCCACCACCTTCCGGAGCGTCGCGCCGTCTGTCAGCTCCTCTCTCTTTGCGCTGTCGATCGAGCGGGGATGGTTGGGTGGATACCTGGTCTATCCGGTGTTGATTTTCTTGGCTATGATCGCAGCTCGATGCACCTTGATGCTCCCCAAAAAACTGCGCGGCGAAACTTAGAGATTAGATGTCATAGAATAGAACACTTTTGCGTAACATGGATGTGTGCGTGGCGGGAGGCTAGGCAGTGGAGAAACAAAATTGATTGATATGGACACTCAGCTGAATTGCCCTACAATTTTTCACGTTCGATTGGACATTAGAGAAAGGTTCGCCTTGATAAAGCAGCCTTATATTTGCGCAGGTCAATAATCGCCATGCCCCAGATGTCACAAAACTGTGAAAATCAATACAAACGGTATCTCGACCCGAAGTAAATCCAATAATAAGCGCTGGAAGAATGTGAGCCAATGGTTTCATGGTAGAAGAGATGGGGTCTGGGTCTCGTGATGCGGGAGCCCGAGTCCCGTGACAGCGATCAGGCTGTGGCTGAGACCGGTCCGTACTTTGTTTGCCTTCTCTGCTTCTGCTCGCTGCAGCCTACCCCAAGTTTTCTCCACCACACTTCCCCACCTCAGAATTTGCTCAACCGGGATATTTTTGGTTCTTGTTTGCGATATCTCTCTATAGATAACACTCGCCATGTCGCACGGTCACTCGGAGATCGCGGTCATCGAATTCTTCTGTCGCGTGACTAACCACGTCGCTGCTCTCGACGGCGCGTGATTGAACTATTTAGAGGCACCAAAACAAGTTTATTTGTGGCGAGTTGCGTGTGCTACAGCATATGGGCGCAGGTCTCACCGACAACCCCACGACGCGGATGAATGTGGATGCGCATGGGGGGTACAGCAGCTAATTAGGGACCAAAGGAGGTATAAAACCTGAAGCCATTGGGCGTACCAATCTCCAAGGTTCCATCCAGGCATCCTCTCATCGTCGCTGTCCAGCACTAGCCAAAGCCAAAGCACAATGTTCTTCGCCTCTGCTCTCGTCTCCCTCCTGCTCGCCAGCGTCGCCCTCGGCCGCCCCAGCATCGCAAGCCGCCAGAACCGCCGCCGCTCCGGCCCGCTCATCCCCTCGAACGGCCCCGCGGCGAACCTGATCAGCAACACGACGGTCTCGCACGTGAAGTACAGCCAGAACTGGGCCGGCGCGAGTCTCGAGAGCCCGTCGGGCACGTACACGTCGGTCAAGGGCACGTTCACGGTCCCGACCCCGAAGGCGCGCGGATCCGGCAGCCATGCGGCGTCGGCGTGGGTCGGCATCGACGGCGACACGTGCGCGAGCGGAATCATGCAGACTGGGATCGACTTCACCATCGACGGCAGCCGCGCGTCGTACGACGGTACGCGCTCTTTCTCTTTAGCGTACAGCGGAGTGAATGCTGATTTTCAATCCGTTCACAGCCTGGTACGAGTACTACCCCGCCGTGTCCTCTGACTTCACCGGCTTCTCCGTCAAGGCGGGCGACGTGATCACCCTCGTGGCCACCAAGACCTCCTCGACCTCCGGCAGTGTTTCGATCACCAACGAAACCACCGGCAAGAGCGTCCACAAGACCCTCACCGGCAGCCACAAGCTGTGCGGCAAGAACGCCGAGTGGATCGTCGAGGACTTTGAGGAGGGAAGCTCGCTCGTGCCGTTCGCCGACTTTGGCACGGTCACTTTCACCGGTGCCAAGGCTACTCTGGCCTCGGGCGGAACTGTCGGACCGAGCGGTGCCCAACTGCTCGACATTGAGCAGAGCAGCGTTCTCACCTCGGTCAGCGCCACCAGCGACTCGGTCACCATCCGCTACGTTTGAGCCTAGAACACCGTCTGCGAGTATCCTTTTGGCCATGTAGAGATACTCTCATTGTATGATACGCTTCCGTCTGCCAGTAGGAATCTTTCTGTTCATGTAAAGACACTTCTGTTCTTTCGAGAAATCCAAAAAATTGTTTCTATGATGTTTGTCATGTGACTTTCAGCTCATCCATTCATTTTTGTCGCGATAACCTGTTGATTATCAGCTTTTCAACCATTTCTTTTCATAATCTTTCTTTGTATGGAATTCTCGGGTCAACGCCTTCTAGTAGCGCTAGGCGAAAGGCTCTCGGGCTAGTCCCGTTGTCTAGCATAGGAGTTCAATGTAGATCAGTTGTTTTGAAGGGCAACTCAAAGGTTTCCGGGGCTGCTCTCGTGTATTCCCGGCGACACAAGGTTGAAATTTAAACTCGGCAGAAGGAGAGATGAGTTTCTCAGCATGAGAGTTCGATTTGTGATCAGAAAAACAACACTAAGTGCCCATTATTTTGGTCTTATTTAGAGACCGGCGGCCTTCAGCATAGCAGGGAAGTTGGGCGTTCCCATGCCGGTGACGGGATCCCACCCTGCCTTGGCCGAGAAGCCGTCCGTTCCACAACCAGGGTTATTTCCCGTCGTAACGTCATTGAACATCTGCGGGTTGGAGTACAACCACGGGTTGAGGAAGCCAAGCACGGGCTTCCCGGCGGTCAGCAGCCGGTCGTTAATTAGGCCGATCACCGACGCGAAGATAGGCGAGGAGCAGGACGTGCCGTCGATCAAGTCCCAGTGATCGATTTGGTGCATCGTGACGTTCACACCGCTGGCCGAGACGTCCGGGTACCCCCGACCGGTGGTGTTGTACTTGCCAGCATATTGCGTGCCGATCGACTTGATGTACGCGCTGACGGCGGATTGTTCTAGGGATAATCAGCCTGTTGTAAGAACTCGTTGAAAAGTAGCACATACGCCAAGACTGGGTAGGGAAGTAGTTCGAGAAACCACCAGCGGAGAGGGCCGCGCCCGTTTCTGGCATACCGGAGGTGGCACCGACCAAAGTCGCGCTGGAAGGTAACGTCAGTTGGATGATGGGAAGGGGACAGGGAGGAACACACTAAGGGCAGGAAGGGAAGGTGGGCGCGAATGCTGTTCCATTGCACTGCACACCAGGGGTCGAAGAAACACCGCCATCGCCCGAGGCAAACAGAATAGAGACCCCTCGGGCACTCAACTGCATGTACGAGTTGCACATCGCCCTGATCAAAACATCATTCTCTGTAATCACGGGGTGACCAGATCGACCTACACGGTGAGGGGCTCGGAGAGATAGGACTCAGCAAGCAGACCGTAACTGGTTGTGAGCACTTGGGGTGGAGCGCTCTCGGCAATGAGCCCTGTGATGATATCGAGGTAGCCGCCGTCCGCGCCATCAGTGTTATTGGTCCCCAAAGAAACGAATGTGACCGGAACGTTAGTTGCCAGGCCCACGGTGAGCTGGATGTCCATGTCTACGACCATGATCATGAGCACCGGGACCAGAAGACAAATGATGCACTCACTAGCTTCGACGCTGGCATCATCTGGGGCCTGCGAATCCGTTCCGTTGTCGAGCGAGAGGAGGCCGAACGTAGTCGAGGAGTTCATGTCCGGGCGCTGCTCCTCGAGGAAGTCCTTCAGATCCTCCCTGTTCGCCCACTGCTCATACATCCCCACTACCCCGATTGATCCCTTCTTGCTCTTCGCAGGCGTCTTGGGGATGCGGTACATGGACTGCAGGCACCTGGGTGTCATCGTGTCGTTGCAGGAAACGTGGACGGCGTCCGACACTGGCGCCGGCGCCGGTGCCGCGCGCGGCTCGGGCTGCTGGCTTCTCACCGCCATCACGCGAGGAAGGGAGCGGGACCCGCTGAAGCTGGTCGTGGGAGTGACGACGCGGACGTGGTCCTTGAGCGCGGCCGGGATGGAGTACTCAAGCGTGCGAATCGACTCGGTGCCGCTGGCGGTGTGCGTGAAAACCCGGTAGTCAGCGCCGAGCAGCTCGTTTGCCTTGGACACGGGGACGCTGACGGAGATCCAGTCACCGGAGGGAGAGACGAGTGTCGATGATAGACCATTGGAGGAAAGCCACTCAGACACGGCGGCAGTGGTCTCTGCAGTGGGAGTGGAGAATGAGTCGACCTAGGACGAGTCAGCGCATGGTCTGCAGCGAGCCAAACGCGGTTACGCACCTCTTCCTTGGACAACCATTGTCCGTAGGTCGCACTACCCGGTGTGGCAGCAGCGAGCAGTTTCGTCTCCAGCCCTTCGAGGTTATTCTGGGCCAGGTTAAGCTTCAGCTGAAGTATCTTCTCAGCAGGCGCCGATCCCGACGCGACGAAGCCCTCCGGAACAACTGCCCGACGCTCATGCAGGACGAGCGTGTCGAAGACGGGCGTGGCAGACGCGACGGTCAGCGCGAGCGCGAGGAAGCCAAAAGCTAGCATCCTGCAGGCCCGATGAATGGGTTTCAATGGGCTTCTATCGCGCACCTTTAAAAAGCCGCTACAGGACCCGGTCATATATCTCCACTGCCCAGACATCGCCAGAACCATTTCCACGCAGCGCATTCAAGCTTTACCACATGCAAGCCCGAAGCGGGGACCTCGATTGACATTTAGCCGAAGCGACCAGTCCTCTGAGCCTGGCTGCTGGGCAGACTGATAGGGCTGATCTGCCCGTAAAGATGAAGAAGAATTCGAAGTGTCGCGTCGCGTGACACATCCCGTTGATGAGCTAAGCCTTATGAGGTCTTGTTCATCTGCCGTATGCTGCCGCGGCTTGTAATCCGGGTGCAGTGTTAGGCTTCTTATGAGACTAGAGCGTATTAGAATTTGTAAAAAGTAACCTTCTACAAAAAATCTATCAAATGTCGCTTAAATCTGGGCCACTTTCTATAGCGAAAGGAACTTCACATGCGATCACATTACTTGTCACGCCGCCAACTCTCGCCATTCCGCCGTCTCCTGCCTCCCATGCTCCCAGTTGTGATGAAAAGAGCAACTTCCAGCGCAGAGGAGGTGCAAGACAACACGCGCGCGCGCGACGCGCTCAACGCGATTTGGATGGAAATGAATGGCATCCATTGTGTGACCACGTCTGACAATTGCACAGATTTGAATCACTTCCCATGGAAAGTCAAGAACTTTCTATAGAAGCTTTTTTGTAGAAAGTGGTGGTTTCTAAGAAATCTAATACGCTCTACTGGTTCTACTTCACAAGAGATTTGGTCTGCTGGCCGGTCCGTTGGATGTGCAGATTTCGCTGTAAATACGACCATGTAGACCCCAATATTTTTGGGGATCTTCGGGGTCGAGTCGTCACCGTCGCTCGACAGACAGCATGTCAAATGTCACAGCTCCACTTCCTTCATCACAAGATCCGATGCCACTTGTGAAATCCTTTTTTTTTGCAACTCGGGAGTTGCCCAGATGCGACCTTTTCATAATGCATGACAAATAGGTCCTACGCAGTGGAATTGATCGCCGGCGGCAAGCCCCGGAACACATTGATGGGAACAGGAAGTGTGTCATTTGCTGCTGTCAGCACGACTTTGGCTTTGGGCCGTCCTGAACCCCAGCAGGCTTGGCTCCAGAACAAGGCTCACAAGGTTTTGATGAGCGTCGTCATCTCTATTTCAGGACGAATGCGGAACAATGACGGAGATTGATCGTCTTGCTGCGATGGCCCCATCGTCCATCACTCGATCCCGCACAACGAGGGCTTCTCGCCAAGAATCAGGACTGTCGGAGCCTCAGATCAAAAGACAACACAGACACCTCTCGGTGTACACAGAGAATCCACAATTTTATACAAAACCAAAAACACCAGTGCCTATTTATATAACTCTACCTAGAGGCCGGCCGCCTTCAGCATAGCGGGGAAGTTGGGCGATCCAAGACCGGTGACCGGGTCCCAGCCCGCCTTGGCCGAGAAACCGTTCGTGCCACAGCCGGGGTTGGTGCCCGACGTGATGTCGTTGAACATCTGCGGGTTGGCGTACAGCCACGGGTTCAGGAAGCCGAGTACGGGCTTGCCGGCGGCCAGGAGACGGTCGTTGAGCAGGCCGATGACGGAGGCGAAGATGGGCGAGGAGCAGGACGTGCCGTCGACCAGGCCCGTCGAGCCGCTCGCGACAATCGACACGCTCTGGCCGATGGCCGAGACATCCGGGTACCCCCGTCCGGTTGTGTTGTATTTGCCCGCGTATTGGGTGCCGATCGATTTGATATACGCGCTGACGGCGGTTTGTTCTAGATATCGTCAGTTTCCGTGCACATACTCGCTCAGGAACACGACGCACGCCAAGACTGGGTGGGGAAGTAGTTGGAGAAACCGCCAGCGGAGAGGCTAGCGCCAGTTTCCGGAGTACCGGCGGTGGCGCCGACGAGAGTGGCGCTGGGGAGCCCGTGTTAGTCGAGACGATGATCACGCAGAGGGGCGCTTACTATGGGCAAGTCGGGAAGGTAGGGGGGAACGCGCGTCCAGAGCACGACACACCAGGAGTCGAAGCAACTCCACCGTCGCCAGTCGCGAACAAGATGGAGACACCACGAGCGGTCAGCTGCATGTAGGAGTTGCACATCGCACTGATCAGAAAATAATCAGTTTGTGATCATCAAGGGCTTGGGAAGATCTTACGTCGTCAGGGGCTTGGAGAGGGATGCCTCGGTGTCGAAGCCGTAGCTGGTCGTCAGGACCTGAGGCGGGGCACTCTCGGCGATAAGCGCAGTGATGATGTCAAGGAAGCCTCCATCCGCGCCGTCCTTGTTGGTGGTGCCCACCGAGACGAATGTGACCGGGACGCCAGTTGCCAGGCCAACGGTGTACTGGATGTCCAAGTCTGCAACCCGTCAACATCTAGAACCGTTGAGAAAGATGGTATGCACTTACTGGCTTCGACGCCAGCCTGGCTCAACGACTGTGAGTTCGTGCCGCCGTCGACCGAGGTCAGGCCAAACGACGTCGTGGAGCTGATGTCAGGGCGCTGTGCCTTGAGGAACTGCGTCAGATCCGCCTTGTTGGCAAACTGATCCCCGAATCCGGCCACACCAATCGAGCCGGCCTTGCTCGTCGCGGGCGTCGTGGGGATCGCGTACATTGCCTGCAGGCACGTCGGCGTCATCGTGTTCTTGCACGACGCCGGGACAGCGTCGGACACCGGCACCACGTGCGACTGCGGCTTCGGGTTTCCCACAGATATCACGGGTGGAAGCGGACGGGGGCCGCTGAAGCTCGTTGTGGGAGTCACGACGCGGATGTGGTCCTTTAGCGCCGCGGGGATGGAGTACTCGAGTGTGCGGATCGACTCGGTGCCGCTGGAGGTGTGCGTGAAGACATGGTAGTTGGCGGCGAGCAGCTCGTTCGCCTTGGATACGGGGACGGTGACGGAGATCCAGTCACCAGAGGGCGAGAGGGTCGTTGACGTCAGGCCGTGCGAGGAAAGCCACTCGGACACAGCGGCGGTCGTCTCCGCAGTGGGAGCGGAGAACGAGTCGACCTAAAAAGAATCAACACACACAATAAGCGATGTGGTAACCGCAGATACGTACCTCGTCCTTGGACAGCCACTGTCCGTAGGTCGCACTTCCTGGAGTGGCCGCGGCGAGCAGCTGGGCCTCCAGCCCTGCGAGGTTGTTCTGCGCCAGGTTGAGCTTCAGCTGGAGCGTTTGCTCAGCTGGCGCCAACCCCGTCGCGACGAAACCCTCTGGAGCAGCCGCCCGGCGCTCGTGCAGGACGAGCGTGTCGAAGACGGGCGTGGCAGACGCAAAGGTCAGCGCGAGCGCGAGGAAGCCGAAAGCCAGCATCGTGGATACCAGATGGATGCAGACCCGGGTCAGTCTCAACGCACCCTTTTATCCATGCCGATTACTGGATCCGTCGATCTACCCTGGGCTATCGCCTGATGCTACTTTTAGTTTTGCCATGTGCACGCGAGAGGCAGTGACCTCGAGTCCCATATGTGGATCAAGGAAGAACCTGGGGTGCACGATGTGGCCAATCAGTCCGCCAAGCGCAATGAAGCGCGGCGGACAGACACAAGTCGATGCATAACGGTTGGCCTCGCTGGGCTTCTCGGGCGACAACGACAACAAGGAGGGACAAGCCGCCTGTCGGCCAGCAGACGTATCACCAACCCCCCCCCTCTCTCTTCCCACGGAATGCACGGGTTGGGAGCGCGTGCGACGAGGCGAACAAGCTTGTGGGAGTGGACATCATCAATGCTCACTCGTCATCGTCACATCTCCACGTCCAGAATAGGCAGCTAGTGTCACACTGATGCTGCACGGCCTGTGGCTGACACCCATCGTTCCCGGGATCACTGCTCGTCATTACAGGCCTCAGCAATGGGCCACCAGCAGCGCATGGGAGGAGAAAACTCCGCCTCTCGCTTGAGCCCAACTTCCGAAACAAGGCATGGCACGCACACAGAATGATAGGCATGATATTCTTGCGTAGATAACGAAGAATTCGAAGACTGGGGTCCGCGTGACTGACTTGGTCGATAAGCGGGGGCTCGTCCGTTCTCCGATAATTCTTTGCTAATTCCCCAGTGCGCAGACTTCCATTGATCCCAATGGTGGCCTCAGCGAAGCAGGTAGCTGAATGGCCATATGGAATAGTCCATGCGGGACGTCGGTCGGCGCGAGGTATCTCGGCCAGCCCCGTTATCTTCCTGCACGTGGCATGGCTCTGCGCGATGACTTGCTTAAGTGGGTTCGCATGATATGATCAACGGAACGACGTCAGAATCCGATTTCGAAGCTCGAGAACCACACACTTACTGACTGGTGTCGATACGTGGATGCCCCTGTTTAGGCAATTATGCACACACAAGTCCTCCATGAATGATGAAATTATCGATTCGAAATCTCTGCCATGGAGAAGAACGCGCTAAATCCTGGAGCTTCAACCAGCAAACGATCATCCACTCCCAGGAGCCCGCGACGCATGATGGCTTCGATGGTGCACTGATCACCCCACCCACCGTGGTAACAGGCCGGAACTGGTTCCGGAAGCTTGTGCCGCTTTGACTCGTATATAATTGAATGCTGTTGAACTCTTTCCTGTCGGCAGATTAGCCACAGATAAACTTCCGATCCACCACAAGTTCGGAAATTTCACGTGATATTGCGTCACGAGTGTGCAAGCAATCATCTTTCCCGATATGGTAAGTGACCGGTTGTCATTTTTTGACAGATTAAACATATCAATTTCCGCTACTTATGTTGAACGATCAATCTCCCGGATTACGTCTCCAGAATTCAAAGCTACCGAATGCATATTCAACGAATACGAATCAAACAATTGTCCTGTCCGTTTTGCTATGCAATCGGTGTTCGAAGGTAGTGGTAGCAGAGTGAGCTGCACCATGTTTGTATCAGTGAGTACTGAGCCTGACCATAACGTCATCGCGGAAAAGCTTCCCAGTATATGATAAGAATCAACCAGGACGTTGCTCAGAGCTGCCGAGACTTTGAATGAAACTTTCTGTGAAGCTGAAGGGTCAGGCGATTCGGCGATCGAGTTCATCATGCTGTGAATTCAGTGTGTGTATTCCTACCTGCTACTCACAGACCCCCGCAAGAGAACCCATTCAAGTTACCCAAAAAGTCATTATACACACTCGCAGCCGCAGTCCGCAGATTAGTCCACGACGTGGTGTAAGTCTGCCCAACCAAGCGCATCAGTTCACCCGGCTCACAAAACGCAACAGACGAGCAGAATCATCACGCACCGGGGCTGCGCGCGCCATGATCCCGAGGAATATCGCATTCTGGTACGCGAGGTCGCCGACCCAGTGGCACAGCTTGATCTTCATCGCCGGATTCGCCTGCACGTCCTCGTAGAACGCCTTCTCATACAGCAGCGTGTGGAGGTGGCTCGTGATCGTGCCCTGCGTGGATGGGACGAACCGCTGGTTGATCGTGTCCTGCTCCGACGCGTCGATGAGCGGGAAGTACGCGCCCTGCGGGATGAGCTCGGTGACTGCGATCGTCGCGAGGTCGAACGCGTCGCTGCAGTTCTTGATGTGGTTTGCAATGCTCTGTGGGGGATGCATCAGCGTCCGTTGAAGTGATTCGGCATGGAATGAATCCGAAGATACTGCGCACCTGAAGCTGAGGAAGGTTAGCTTGTGGGTAGAAGCCGTAGTTCACTGCCGCGAAGAGGTTCGCCATGTACTGCAGGTTGTTCTGCGTCGCATAAAAGTCCAGTAGACCCTGAATTGTGTTCTGTGCACTGATCGCAGCAGCCGCAGCCAGCAGGAGAGCAGCACGAGTGAAAAGCATTGTGAATGGGGGGAAAGCTCAGGATCCTCTCTCCCTGCATGAACCCCTTTTGTACGAGAGCTCGATAGGAATCGCTGCCGCAGGGACCTGAGCATCAGCAAGCTGTCGCCGTCGACTGTCACTCACACTAACTCATACTACGTCAGACCGCGCTGTTCCTGGGGAATCGGCCAGATTTTGGTTCGACTGAGGTGATAAGATGAGCCTAGCTGAGATCGAGACACCGCCAAGACGAGTACGGTGCATATATTCAGGTCGATGGACAACATCCAAATATCATGGAAGAGGGAGAGAATCGACATCGGACACTTGTCCATCTGTCTTGCAACGCAATGCACGGACGTGAATGGACCGCAGAAACTGAAGGCTATTGACTGGGATGAGGTCACAAGCACATCGATAAGCTACGGAGGCCTCGAGGAAGTCAATTAGATTTTATCCCCGTCTGGAAATATCTTTGACAGGTGCCGAAAGAGAAAAGAACCATTATTTAATTTCGGGTAATCTGGATCCAGTCTCACAGCTAGGGCGCCGCGCACCGCCGAGTGCCATCAAGTAAGGCGTACCAATGTCTCCTCTTCTGCATCATCGAATAGACAGCCAGCTGCCTCCACTGTGGATCCAATCCGTACCCCGGGGAATATGCCCGCTGCGCAAGAGGCCTAGCAGCGCTTTTGCACCATGCGCCCACCATGCCAGGGCATCAACGATGTTTCATGAATCGATCGACGGTGCGGCTCCAGAATAATCCAAGCAGAAGCGCCAGAACATGAGAGACGATCGAGAAAACTTTACCTGCGGATGTATTTGGGTTCCCAGATTCGATGGCATGCACCTTTACTGCTTGTCTTTCGCTCAGTGTTAGAGGCGGATTCGGCTAAGACTTCATCAGCCGGGGGACTAGAACATCCAAATATTCCCCACCGCGCGTAAGGTTTGTATGAGTGCTGCTCGTGGCATCGCCGCTTCGCGTCTGTTGTAGTGATTTCCCAACACAAGAGGCGTGTGGTGTTTCTTACCACAGGGGTTTGAATTTGATCGTGATGACACGGTCACGTGCTACTGAGCAGGTTGAGAATCCGCGCCTCCTTCGCGTAGCTTCTGCAGATCGTCCATGCAGCTTCTGTGATTTTCACTTCAAGAAGTTCTGCAAAGATTTTAGAGGGTGGGGACGTTGAATCACAGGAGGGCCTATGGTGCAAATTTGAAACTTTGGAATCACATTTTGTGCTGATGAGTCTCGAAGCGCCGAGAAACCACGAATCTGATATGACCTCCCGAGCCTGTTTGATCGCCTTCGACGGGGAACAACGGGAAATTCGCGATCCTCAAGCCAGGGCTTGACCGCAGGAATGGACTCATTAGTGATCGCCGCTGCATGGCTGTGCCATGTCCCACGTGCAGGCATGAGCAACGTAAACCCTGTGACTCACCAGCCTTCTTTGCGCTCTGAGCCTCTGACATTTGCATTCCCCACATCCGAGCACCTCCATGTCCCCGCTCACCCACCTCTACAACTTCTTCCGACCACCCGCATCCGCACCCTTGCCTCCCCCTGCACCCCAGTCGCATGCCCCAGGTGCACTGGCCTCTCTCCTCGGGGTCGGCGTTGGCTCGAGCCTCAAGCTCCTGGTTCTGGGCTCGCTCGTTGAGACGGGACGGAGAGTGTTTCGCTGGCTTATTGAGCGGTTTCGCATACGTACGTAAAACATCGTTGCTCGTCCATCTCTAGCCAGACAACCGACTAATACTGCAGAGTACTGCACGACGCTTCGCTTCAATGCTGGTGACCCGGCGTACGAATGGGTTATCCTGTTCCTGGTGCGCCCCTTCCATTCCTCCTCATACTAGTTCTCATGGCACTCACGTTGCACGCAGACACAAGAAAACATCTGGCGCCGCTCGCGAGATTTCGTTGTCTGCGCGCAGAACTCGCGCCGCAAGTGGTCCGTTCCGCCCCAGTCGAGCTCCGCCACCGCCACCGCCGCCGCTACTCCGGAATCCTCCTCGACGTCCACCCCCTCTGCTCTGATGCCCTCGCACGCCCACGCGGAATACGTGCCGACGTTCTCGCACCCGCAGCTGTTCCGCTGGCGCACGCACTGGGTCGAGGTGACGCGCACGGGCAGCGCGTCGGGCTCCGGCTCAGACTCGCAGGCAGTTTATATGGGACCGACCGTGATGCCTGCGCAGAGCGGGCAAGTCCTCGTAACGTGCGTATGCATTTTTTTTGGGTCGGGGCTTTCGGAAATGAACCGGGACAGGAAAGAATATACACCCTTGACATGTCCGTGATGGCCGAGTTCGTCGAGGCGGCGAGGAGGAGATACGTGGAGGTTAATAAGCCGCATGTCGTCGTGCATCTGACTGACTCGGTGAGTTCTGTTGTGGTCGATTCCGACTCGAGTATGACGTATCAAACAGCATTACGGGCCCAATCATGTTTGGCCAACAGTGAAGCATAAAACACGCAGGTCGCTTGAGTGAGTCTATCCGATTTGCATACTGTCTGATAAACTCAACACGTCATGTAGCTCGGTCATCCTGCCACCGGGTCGCCTTGCCTCATTAATGGAAGATGTACGCGAGTTCTTGAGTGCTGAAACATGGTACATGGACGCAGGTATTCCGCACCGAAGGGGATATCTGTTGTATGGACCACCAGGGACCGGCAAAAGTGCGTTTTTCTATACTCTAGACGTTTATTTCTGCGGCTGATGACACAGCTTCCACGATATATGCCTTGGCCGGGGCTCTGAACCTCGAAATCTACTCGCTCTCACTTGCGTCCCGTTTGTAAGTTGTCCCTTTCTTACCCTTGCTCCAGAGATTGACAGACGATCGCAGCGTGGACGACTCGTATCTACAGCGGGCAGCGTCCGCGATCCCAAAAAACGGAATATTCCTGATTGAGGACATCGATTGTGCATTCCCCTCCCGAGAGGCTGAGGACGAAATCGAGCCTGCGCCGGGTATGCGAGCACGTAATGGGATGCAGAACCGCAGCCGGCCGTCTGTGACGCTCTCGGGGCTACTAAACGTTATCGACGGGGTGGGCAGCGAGGAGGGCAAGCTGTTCTTTGCCACGGTAAATTCCCGAATACCCTTCTTTCACATCTATCTAATCCACAATACTATGCAGACCAACCACATTGAGCGACTGGACGCAGCATTCATGCGCCCCGGTCGGATAGATGTGAAGATCGAGTACGAGCTCGCTACGTCCGAACAGGCCGGTGCGCTGTTCCTCAAGTTCTTTCCCCCGGCTGCCTTCGAGCGCGAGCTGCCGGGCGTGGTGTCTCGCGGGCCGAGTTCCGCCGATCAGTCCGAAGCCGAGGAGGATTCGGATACGGAGGCAGGGACCAGCGCAGTGCTTGTCCCCCGGCCGTTGACTATGCTCACGGTGTCCCCGGAACTGCCGAGCATGGTAAAGCTGGCGTCGGAGTTTTCGGCCGAAATCCCGAATGGGAGGTTCAGCACAGCCGAGCTGCAGGGATATCTCCAGGGATACAGGACCCGGCCTGCTGATGCGGTGCGGGGTGTCGCGGCCTGGGTTGAGGATCTCATGCGCTCGCGACATGAGGAAACGGAGGCCACTAGGATGCGGTCAAATTGAACCTGATCTGGTCGTGGACGAATTTGGGGAGATAAAAGTACCATCTTTACTTATTTACTGATAATAATGTGGATTCAGTTGAATCATCTTTCCTTATTTGTGTGCTTTCAGACGCGGGAGGAACAGATAGACTTGAGGGTTAGGCACAACTTCGAAGCTTGGTGAAATTTCACCGAGATCAATTCTCAAGTTATTATAGCACTCGATTTGCCGCATTTGCATGTCATCCCCATACTGGCTAGCTGTGCTCCTGAATCGCAGTCGCCACCCAATCTCCAACCTCACGCACTGCATCCATCGGCCTCTTCCGATAACCCTGCAAAAATCCCTGTAGCTCAGCGGTGCTGAACCGGCCGTCCGGAATCTCTGCCGCGAAGGCCGCCGCGAGTGCGACCATGCTTAGCGGTTCCGGGATGGGCGTAGTAGGATCCTCCGGTACGGCCTGGTCTGTGGCAAAAGGGACCTCAGGGATTGCTTCCGTCGCGCTCTGACCCACGTCGAACGCAGCGGGCGGGAAGAACTTGAGGAAGAGCGCTCCGGCCTGCTGGCCCGTCGCAAGCTCGTACTCGATCTTCACGTCGATCCGGCCGGGTCTCAGAAATGCCGCGTCCAGCCGCTCGATGTGATTCGTCTAGCCAGCGTATGAGCATGATTCAAATTCGGCGCGCCCGTTGAGAACGGGGAGGGGTATGGCGCACGGTGGCAAAGAAGAGCTTCCCCTCCTCGCTGCCCACGCCGTCCAGCACGTTCAGCAGCCCCGACAGAGTCACAGACAGCTGGGTGCGCGCGTGAATGCCGAACGGCACGCCGAGTCGCATCTCGGATGCAGCCGCGGACGCAGCCTCGGCGTCGCTCGTGTTGCGGGAGGGGAACGCGCAGTCGATGTCTTCGATGAGGAAGATTCCGTTTTTCGGGATTGCGGCTGCTGCGCGCTCGAGGAACGAGTCGTCGACGCTCAGGAAACTCTCAGAGGGGTGGTATCCATGTAAATCAGAGAGACGTACAAGGACGACGCGAGCGAGAGTGAATATATCTCGAGGTTTAGAGCTCCGGCCAGTGCATATATCGTGGATGCTGTGAACTTGGAAGCAGGAAGCGGGAGAGTGGATCAATGGACATACTTTTGCCGGTTCCTGGAGGGCCGTACAGAAGATATCCTCGTCTGTGAGGAATCCCAGCATCGATATACCACTGCAACATCTCCGTGCCTAGAAACCCGCGCACATCTTCCATTAATGACTCCAGACGACCTGGCGGCAGGATGACCGAGCTACACACTTGGGCATCATGCGACAGAAGCGAAAACACAACGAGACCTACTCCAGAGATCGCTGCATCTTGTGCTTGACGGTCGTCCAGGTCCGACTCGGATGTCCTGCGTAACGCTGTAAAGATGTATAGTTACGTTAGCCCACAAAGTGCTCGAAACCCGGCTGCAACAACACCGACGGAATTTGTCAGATGCACAACCACATGCGGCTTGTTGACCTCCACGTATATCACCCTCGCCTCCTCCACGAACTCATTTATCAAGGACATATCCAGAGTGTACATCCTGTCCACGTTTGATCCGCCAGATCCGAGAATCAAGATCTCCTGGAGACTCACGTGATGTGGATCTCCCCGCTCTGGACAGCGTCGCCGAACATCACCGTCGTCGTGTGCCCTGGGAACACCGCCTGCGCCGTCGACGAACCAAACCCGCCGCCCTGATGCCCACCGGGGCCCGTCCGCGCGACCTCGACCCAATGCCCGCGCCACCGAAACAGCTGTGGTTGCGAGAACGTCGGGACGAATTCGGCGTTGGCGCCGACAGCGGTGGAGGAAGACGTGGTGGGATTCGATGGCACAGACCACTTGCGCTGCGAATTCTGCGCGGAGACGACGAAGTCACGTGAGCGGCGCCAGATGTTTTCTTGTGTCTGTTGTGTGGAGTGGGCTGCTATCAGAGAGCGATGAGGAAGAGTGGTAGAGCGACATGCCAGAAATAGGATAACCCATTCATACGCCGGGTCACCTGCGTTGAAGCGCAGAGTTGTGCAGTATTCTGCGAGCGGCAGACGCGTTAGACAGGGTGGACGTGTAAGGCTGGTCTGCGCACGTATGCGAAACCGCTCTAAGAACCACCGAAATAACCGCCGTCCCGTCTCGACCAGGGACCCGAGAACCAGCAATTTGACGCTCGAGCCGACACCGAGCCCGAGGAGGGACGCCAAGGCGCCGGGACTGCCAGCGGATGGAGGGACGGAGGACGGTGCAGAAGCAGTAGCGGGACTGCGGAAGATGTGGTGGAAGTGCGTTAGCGGCGACATGACGTCCAAATGCAACTGGCGGGGAGGAAGAGCCAATGCCGGCGCCTATCTTTAAAAAAGCGCTCATTGCCTGACTGTGTTTGTCCGTCCCGTGAATGTGCACCGAGTCAAAGCAAATAATTCGGGAGAAGATCATAGCTCCCGACGGGCAGTGCCTGCTAGCAACTGCATTCATCTTTTCACTGCGAAAACTATTGAATGAGCCACATCAAAGCATCAGAGGGGAGGATGATCTTCTAACTGCATATGATGATCTATTCCTTCAGCAGTCCTGTATGCTGGGCTGTGGCGCTCACTGATCAGACTCCGATTGTCGAAGCTGCACCTATTTGCGGATGAATCGTTGTCACTCACCTCCCGTAAGTAAGATCATCAACGACGCTCACTGGATGCCGATAATCGATTGATCATCACTGTCTGGTGTTTCTCTCGACCGATCGAGCATCAAGTCGATTGCCTTGCTTGTCAAGGCTTCTCCAGACCCTTAATTACGTGAAATCACAAAAATTTGATGAACCTGATCCGGCCTCCGATCCGTTCTGATCAATCTTGCCAGTTACGCACATCTGCATGTTAGCTGTGCATGCAAATTTGACATTTGTGACCGGCTTTGCTCCCACCTTTTTGCGGTATCAAGGCAAATACATGGTTGATCATCTTTGTATGTATGATTTTGAGGGCAGAATCATTGCACCAGAGGATTACATGAAAAAGCTCCCCGGTGCTTCTGTTGCAGTCACTTTCACTATGACCCACTACTTGTTCACAAGCCAGAAATAGGACACGTTCGTTGCAGATTTTGTCAAGATATGCATCATCAAGTCTCAGATCGCACTGCCGCCCAGCCTGAAGAAGTGTTGGCCAGCCGCACCTGATATGGATGATAGCCCAAAGAAGAAAAGGACAAGGGCTGCTGGGGCTTAATTAAAACCAATGTCTTTGTTGATATTTTTGCAATCTTTGTGTTGAGTAGCAAGGCATTCTGTTGGCAGAGCCGACGCTTTCTGGTCTAAGTCGATGATCAAAAGCAATTTGATTGTTGATGACATCAGTGTTCAAATCACCAAGTCATGATCGCCTGATTACTTCTCCCCCTCCCCCATCCTTGCAGTGTTCCCGCACGCCACCAGTGCAAGAGGCATCTACTGACTTCACGCCGCGCCAAGCACACCTACAGCGGCGTCCGTATTTCGCGAGCTCCTCCTGCCCGAGTCGCCGCCGACGCACGTTCGTATGGAAACCCGGAGAGGTCTGCTCATGTCAAATGGTTATGCGACAATGATCATTGATAAGCGATGTCAAGACCCCGGAACCATCACACCAAGCGACATTACGAGCACACAGAAACGATAGATTCAATGTATCAAGTCCGACTCAATACATTGAATCTATCGGTTCTCTGTAGAGCGGAGAAAAATTCATATTTTATGTCGTCAGATATGTATAATACGGCCGTCTCCGGAGGGGCCGTCTGTACTGTAAGCATACATATGTACCTTTTTTTATTTTACCGAGCGCTGAAGGCCCGAAAAATTCCGGTATTTTACGGTATTTTACGGTATTTTATGCATGTAAAATCGGTAAATAGTGTATAATTACCATGAGACATTGCTAGCGGACCAAGCAGCGTCCAACGGCTTCCAAGCAGGCTTCGACGAGACGCTGATGGCTGCGGACGCTTGCCCGCTGTCGCCTTGGATGCATCTTCGGACTTCCGCCCGGCGGGATAGAGGCGATCGAGTAACCTGTGCGCACTGTTTGCATCATCGGCGGCGGGGGGCGCAAGGGAAAGTAGCACTGCCACCTGTTCAAATGCGGAAATTTAATCTTTGGACTTGTCCCCCAAAGCTGTGGCCAATGGCCAAATGATACATTAAATATGCCCAATCTGGAGGTAGCTTGGTAAAAATGGTATTTTACACGTATTTTACATGTATTGTATCATTGGTAATTTACTCGGCACTAATTTCATGTGTCTGACGCGACCAGTGAATAAGGTAGATAGTTCGATCTGGGTGTAAGGTGAAAACTGTGGAAGTTGAGAAACTTACTGCAGACAATCTGAGTCATCGAGAATTGTGAGTGGAGGTGTTTGTGGGTGGAATTCCGAATTCGGCTGGTGTGGGTTTGTCCAGTGTGCTAGCGTGTCTATGCAGAAACGTGTGGCAAGTCTATCTACCTTATCTTACACTGATGTGATCTTGCAGCCATCGCTCACATCAGCTGGCATCAAGACCGTGTATCAGACGTCAATGTGTTTCTTTCATCAGATGCGTCAATCAGCTCATTTCTGGTGGAGTTCTAGGTTGAAGGCTTGATAGAAACAAGTTGACAGGACCTCAGATTGCTTGGGCCTCGAAGAAATACTCAGGTCACAGGACCTCTCCAGCATCAATTTTGGTCGAACTTGGCAACGCAAGAATCCACTGATACATTTTTGCCCAAGATGACTGCAGTACTCTATTTTTTTTTGCTACACACTTTTTGGTTGTATATGCACATTCTCCTCATGGGGATTAGTCTAGTATAGCTCCGTTGTCTTAATACAGCTTGACTTTCTCGCGATCAATTATGAGTGATGAAAGCGGACGTGTGACCATAACACCACGTGATGTTTGTCGAGGGTGGATTGCGGCTACTTTACAGAATTCGACATCATGTGATTTGGAATTGGAGCGAGCACTGGGCGCTTATGTGCGCTATTCCATTTGTTTTTGTTTTTGTTCAGTAGTGATAGTTCGTTGAATCTATCAGTCTGTGTGCTCATAATGTCGCTTAGTGTGATGGTTCCGGGGTCTTGACATCGCTTATCAATCATCACCGTCGCATAACCATTTGACATGAGCAGACCTCTCCGGGTTTCCATACGTTCGTGCGCGTGGGAGCAGAATCGAGATGCCAGCACTCAGTCTGACACCGGCCGACTGGCGAGATGGTGCGATCCACGCGTTCGAAGAGGCAGATATAGCTGTCCGCTCTCAGGGTGTTCACACTGGGCTACTGTGCTGCGCCACTGCGTCCGAATTGCAGCACCCAAGCTATACTGGCCGCACTGCAAATCGATGCCGGTCCACCGCTATTTCGAATCTCTAGCACCGATACATACACGCACCGACCAGGAACAGGTATGTACGTAGACAGCGAAAGACCGCGCCAGCGCCGCTGTCACGGCAGGAACCACATGGAACTCGAGAACCACTGACCGATGAAGCTTGAACGTGGATGATGATTTTGAATCGGGGCCCCTCGCAGGCTTCTTGATACCCATCGTGGCCTGCCGCAGAGTATTTATGTACAGAAAGAGCGCGTCCCCTGACGAGGCTCCGTCCGTCGACCTGTTGTCCCACCCCACCCCATCCCCAGGATGCTCACCCCCGCTCTACTCACGCTTTGCGCGCTCGTTCGCACCGCCTCGGCCGCGACGGCGCAGACGTTCGTTCCGCCCTCCAAAGGGCCGCTGGTGCAGACGGCGAACTACACGACGTTCTCCAATTCGACCATCAAAGACGGCAAGCCCGTGAAGGGGAGGGTGTTTGACCGGATCGTGCAGGTGTGGTTGGAGAACACGGATTTCGCGGTGCGTGGACTGGGTGGGCTGGGCGATGCGAAGATGAGATGACATGGCCAATGACGTAGACCGCCGCCGCGACCCCGATTTTCCAGTCGATCGCGAACCAAGGTATCCTCCTCACGAACTGGAACTCGCTCACGCACCCGTCCGAGCCGAATTGTGCGCTCTTTACCCGCCCTCCTTGATCCGGCCATTGACGCGTAGACACCAAGACATCGCTGCGATGGGCGGCGACTTCTTCGGCACGCACGACGACAACATGTACCACGTTCCGGCGAACATCACGACCCTCGTCGACCTGCTCGAGGACCGCGACGTGTCCTGGGGCGCGTACCAAGAGAACCTCCCGTCGGATGCGTTCTACGGATTCAAGTGCGTCCAGCCGCCCTGTTCCGCGTCTATCACGCAAAGTAGTAACACGTGGGAAACTCAGCTTCGCTGCGCCCAATTACGCCGACCCAAGCGCGCCCGCCTACACGTACTACGTGCGCAAGCACAACCCGCTGATCATCTTCGACGCGATCTCGCAGAACCCGGCGCGGGCCGCGCGCATCCGGAGCTTCAACGACTTTGCGAACGACCTCGTGAACGGGACGCTCCCGCAATGGATGTTCGTCACTCCCAACATGGTGGGTCCTGGGGTGATGCGATTGATGCTTGGCTGATCTATAAATTTGAATTATAGGTGAATGACGCACACGACACGACAATCGACTTTGCGGCGTCGTTCCTTGAATACTGGCTTGTCCCGCTTCTGACGGACCCGCGGTTCAACGGAGAAAAGACGCTCATCTTGTTGACGTTCGATGAGAACGAGACGCAAACAGAACAGAACACGGTATTCACTGTGGCTTTGGGTATGTTACCACCGGCGAAATGATTGAAATCTCATTTTCGTGATTGCAGGCACCGCCGTTCCGCTCAATCTCCGCGGAACGACTGACGACACGCTCTACACACACTACTCCGCCCTGAGCACGGTGCAGGCGAACTGGAATCTCAAGTCGCTCGGACGCCAGGACACGAACAAATCGGTCAGCAACGTCATCGAGTTCGTCGCGAAGGAGGTCGGCTACAAGAACACCGCAATCCCTCTCAGCCAGGTGCCGCACTTCAACATCTCCGGAAAAACCCCGGGACCGTTGAGTGCGTCGTTCCCCTCCGGATCGGAAACAGCCATTTGAGACACATCACTCCAGACTCGGCGCTGTTTGTGCCGTTCTCGACGCCCGACTTGAAGGCCAAAGGCGCGGGATCGGGTGGTGTGTTGACGCTTCCGGGCCTCAACACTCATCTGACGCCGGGCAACCTCCCGCCGCCGAAGAACATGACTGCGCTCAACTCAACTACGCCGTGGCAGATGAGCCCGCGCACCACAAGCGGGAAGGCCATCATCCCGTGTGCCGGGGCCGCGTGTCCATGATTTGTTGTGCTCTGTTGTAAGTAACTATGTACCAATTTATCGACGAAGCTTCCCTTTGAGAACGTATTCATTAGTCAGTGTTACGACGCTAGGTCGCAGTTGTTTTTGTGTTTTGTTCGTCATCGAATGCGAAACAGTGGAGCACACTAGTCGGCGTTCTTCGCCTTCGGCCTTGGGTTCTGTCAAAAGTTGCAATCAGTACGAGTTGCTCGGCCCATGAACGAAATAAAATCATGATAATCCCAAGAGAATTCTCCCTTGTGCACGATCCCGGCCGCGCACCGCTTTCCTCTCGAGTACTGCAAACTACTGCATAGACGCAGAACCCCAACCCTCGTGCCGCACAAGCAGCCTCAGGCCGATCCGCACGGCGCATAGTCTCGAGGTTCTAGCCTGCGCTTCCGATCTTGGCCGGATCCCCCTTCTCACCGGGGGCAGACGACGTGCCAGATGCGTCTATCGTGCCAGGTCGGGTTAGCAATCTCGCGACAATTCAGTGGTTGAATCATGAACGGATTTCCGCTCACAGATGCGCTCTTCTTCTCTTGGCCTAGTCCGTCTGCTTTCAGCTCAGCGCGAGCCCTGACTTCATGACGAGCTAGTGATGATTGAGTATGCTGCAGTCACATCCGAATTCTGCCGATCCGACCCCACATAAAAAGGGGGCCATGGCGTCTGAGTCCCTAGATTGTTGTGCAGTCCACGATGTTACTTGCTCGCACTGCGCTGCTCCTCCTGGCTACCGTCACCGCCACGGCGAACGCCCAGAACACCAAACAGGGGCTGCTTGATTTCTACGCGACGCAGACCAATCTGGAGGACAAGGCGAACCTCTTCGCCGCGCAGAACTACGGCAAATACGCGCAGCCGAACCTCACCCAGCTTCAAGTGAGTCGTCTGTTCACCGAGGCGTGGATGTAGGACACTGACTGAGAGTCTCCCACTGGGGTACTTCAGAACATCGCCAACCACATCAAGAACTGCAGCGACGCGCTCGACCTTGCCACAATCTCCGTCACGGGGCTCATCCCCCGCGGCCTCAACTTCCCGCTCATCGACGCCCCGGCGCAGGACACGATCAACAAGCGCTTCATCCCGCCGACCCAGAAAACAATCACCGGCCACCTCCGCAAGCTGCTGAAATACACACCGTTCTACGACGACGTCCAGGCCAGCCCCGCACTGAAGATCAAGATCTGCCACTGGGTCGGTGGCCTGGCGTACCAGAACGTCATATTCCTGGGGCTCATGGGGCAGGCCGCTCCGGTGCGTGCCGCCGCTGTTGTTCGCGAACGACTGAAACCTGAGAAGCGGCTGTTCGATTGCGCATGCGTATGCAGATCTATACGGACGCTTGGACACAGTTGCAGACGGAGGCTGCGAGTGTTTACAGCGAGTTCTTGGGCGATATCGATGGGTTCGCATGCGATGGGCTGTGAGTGGACGTGTTCAGGGCGGTGGGAGCAGAGAGTAGTTCTCCAGTTTGTCTTGTTGCGTACTCTGTCAGAAAGGAGGAACTTGAAATATTGTCCCTCGCGCTCCTGGAGCTCGAAGATCGTGCTGCTCCATCTGCCCCTGATTCGTACATGCGGTATCTTCCAATCAGTCTGCGTGGTGTGGCTTCCAATCACTCTCCAATTCCGGCTTCACTCTGTTTGTCTGCTGTTGCGTAACTCAGAGAAAAACCTTTGTCAAATCTAATCAATTTTCACCTGAGTTCCGTAGTTTCGGCCGCCAGAGCCAATCTGATTCTTTTTTCTCCTTTTTCTGAGGAAGATCAATACGAAAAGATGATTGATGGCACAAATCGTCTGGTAAATTGACCCTGTTCTCCAAGATCTTTTTGATTTCAGAAAAAAAGACATTGTCTATATTCGTGTGATTTCCGCGGAAGAGTCATTTCGTCTGAGGCCAGTTGGGGGCACGTGGCGTGAAACCTATTTTTGGTCACCCCCAGGGACGGGCATATGTCCACGATTTGTTTGATTTAGGATGAAATGTAATGCAGCTCGCATCCAGTACTGGAAAGTTACTTCTCTTGCGGCGTTTTAGAGTCGAAAATTCTGCACTCGCGATGTTTCGGTCACTTTTCAAACTGGGGCTGAGTCCCGTGCCCGGTCGTGGCTGATGCTGGATCATACTTTGGTCGCCTTCTCTGCTTCTGCTCGCTGCAGCCTACCCCAAGGTTTCTCCACCACACTTCCCCACCTCAGAATTTGCTCAACAGGGATATTTCTGGCTCTTGTTTGCGATATCTTTCTATAGATAACGCTCGCCATGTCGCACGGTCACTCGGAGATCGCGGTCATGGAATTCTTCTGTCGCGTGACTAACCACGTCGCTGCTCTCGACGTCGCGTGATCGGCCTATTTTCATGCACCCAAACAAGATTGTCTGCGGCGAATGCGTGTGCTGCAGCATATGGGCGCGGGTCTCACCGACGACCCCACAACGAGGATGAATGTGGATGCGCATGCGGGGTGCAGCAGCTAAATTGGAGAACAAAGGAGGTATAAAACCTGAAGCCATTGGGCGTACCAATCTCCAAGGTTCCATCCAGGCATCCTCTCATCGTCGCTCTCCAGCACAAACCGAAGCCCAAACCAAAGCACAATGTTCTTCGCCTCTGCCCTCGTCTCCCTCCTCCTCGCCAGCACCGCCCTCGGCCGCCCCAGCATCGCGAGCCGCCAGACCCGCCGCCGCTCCGGCCCGCTCATCCCCTCGAAAGGCCCCGCGGCGAACCTGATCAGCAACACGACGATCTCGCACGTGAAGTACAGCCAGAACTGGGCCGGCGCGAGTCTCGAGAGCCCGTCGGGCACGTACACCTCGGTCAAGGGGACGTTCACGGTCCCGACCCCGAAGGCGCGCGGGTCCGGCAGCCACGCGGCGGCGGCGTGGGTCGGCATTGACGGCGACACATGCGCGACCGGGATCATGCAGACCGGGATCGACTTCACCATCGATGGTAGCCGCACTTCGTACGACGGTACGGGTTTCCTGTTCAGTCACGCAGGTGTTGGAGGCTGACGTCGCCTCTTTCCGCAGCTTGGTATGAGTACTACCCGGCCGCGTCGGCGGATTTCTCCGGCTTCTCCGTTAAGGCGGGCGACGTGATCACTCTCGTGGCTACCAAGACCTCCTCGACCTCCGGCACCGTTTCGATCACCAACGAGACCACCGGCAAGAGCGTCCACAAGACCCTCACCGGTAGCCACAAACTCTGCGGTGAAAACGCCGAATGGATCGTCGAGGACTTTGAGGAAGGGAGCTCGCTCGTGCCGTTCGCCGACTTTGGCACGGTCACTTTCACCGGTGCCAAGGCTACTCTGGCCTCGGGCGGAACTGTCGGACCGAGCGGTGCCCAGCTGCTCGACATTGAGCAGAGCAGCGTTCTCACCTCGGTCAGCGCCACCAGCGACTCGGTCACCATCCGCTACGTTTGAGCCTAGAACACCATGTGCGAGTATCCTTTTGGTCATGCAAAGGAACTCCTGTTGTATGGATCGTTTCCGTTGGCGACTAGGGATCTCTCCGTTCATGTAAAGATACCTCCAGTCTTTCAATGGATTAAAATTGTTCTGTGATGTTTGCTATTCGACCTCTAGTCATCATATGTTGTTGCGATAACCTGTTTATGGTCAGCTTTCACCACGCTGATAGTATTCCGTGAATTCGTCCGGAATTCTGGGGTGAACGCCTTTTCGTAGAGCTCGGCGTCATTCTTTCTGGCAAGTACCAGGGTGTGTCGTTGAAGCGGAGTGCACTAGCCTCTGTTAGCACAACCAGCCACTCGGTTACCATCCGGAATGTTTGAGGCTCGCCGCGTAACTCTGGTGATTTAAACAAAGTCCCAGTTTCAATGTTTCATTTCGGTGTGCCTTTCTTTTCTGGAACGCTACTTATACAAACCGATCAATCGAAATAGGTTCCTGCATGTTTTCTATACCGACTTGAGCCCTGGATAGTCCAACAAATCCCCTGATCAAACCTTTCCATCCTTCCTTGAATGGTATTTTGTTTCTGAATATTTTCGGTTGTGATACGCCAAAGTTGCTCAGTTCATTTTCAAGAGGAACCTTGGCTCTGCTTCCGTTGAACAGTCGATAAAATCTTTCTGATGCCGTCGACGTAATTGGGCCTCACAAGTTGAGCGGCGATGCAGTTTTGAATGCGGTAAGAGCATAAATTAAGTGTGCGGGTAGGGTATGCTCATTGATTCCACTCTAGAATCATAAACAACACCCATTGATGACAACACTTGCAGTAGCTTGGATTAATCCTGTAGCCAAATAGACACATAATCCTGCAGCCTAATAGAATCACCTTAAGCTCAGATTAACAGCCTGGCAGGATTATTGTGCAAGATTTTGAAGGTCCTCGGATTATCGAAGATATGAATGTATAAGATTAGGTAATCGTCGACGATCAGGATCAAGGGTGCAGCCGGATTATGCAGAATGCAGGATTATGAACATGTCTACGTCGATGAACAGGATTATGGGTGCAGCCGGATTATGCAGAATGCAGGATTATGAACATGTCTACGTCGATGAACAGGATTATGGGTGCAGCCGGATTATGCAGAACGCAGGATTGAGAACATGTACACGTCGACAAACAGGATTATGAGTGCAGCCGGATTATGCAGAATGCAGGCAGGATTATGAACATGTATACATCAACGAACAGGATTATGAGTGCAGCCGGATTATGCAGAACGCAGGATAATGACAGGATTATAAACAGATGGTATTACTGAATGTACAAAATCAGGTATTCGTCGACGAATAGGATTACGGATGACCACCGTCGAGGATGCCCCATGATTGCCTACGTGCCAATGTACCTGGCGTGATTGGCTGTGTTCGTCGTAGCCGCTCTGTCCAGCACCAACTCATAATCTTGGTCTTCCCAGCTCAGGCCATCCGGAAGAGGGCTCCCTATCGGGTAGAAGTACCGCACCCCTCCTCGCAACTCGACCATCCGTCCCTGAACCATTTCGTCCACGACCTTCGGATGCGTTGAGCGTGAGTGACGCGGTGACTTGTCGGAAACAACTGCTGCTTTGGGGGCCGCAGCACGTCGGCGTTTCGTGGGTGTCCTGGGGATAGCTGTATCCAATTTGGTCTTCTTCGAGCGCCCGTTTGCACTAGACTTCTTCGCCTTCCCCTTGCGTTTCTGACCGACCTCAGAGTTGTCGTTGGTCTCTAGTTCCTCCTCGGGGCCCTGGCTCGTGCTTGGTGATGCTGACCCGCCATGCACATGATCCGGCAGGATAGGTCCAAACCCTGCCTGGCTCTCCTTTGCAGGCGACGGAAGTGAGACAGCCGGACCAGACGCAATAGTGGGCGCAGCTGGTCTCGCGACTACATGCTCACCATGCGGATTGAAAGACGGAGACGTAACGCCCGCGACGTAACCCGGTGTGCGATGTGCGTTGCTCCCAGTGAGGTCAGTCGCAGCCGCAAGAGTGAGGTTGCAGTCCATCGATGTTGCTGAAACAGCATGGGGTCCAGAAGGAGGCTCGTTTGGAGGCAAAAGTAGCCCGGACGTCGGCGTAGGTGGGACGGATGACACAGCTGACACAGCGCCGCGCTGAACGTCGAGCAACGAGTCCGATGGCAAGGGTCCTGCGAGACAACCAGACGACTCTCCACCGGCCCCCAGACCCTCGGTGCTTTCCAACGTCAACGGATCCCAATCCTCAGGGAAGCCCATCGGTATATCATCTTGCACCGCTCCGAAGTCCATTCCAAGACCGTGGAACACATCGCTGTTGTCCCTCATACGGTCCGAAACCTGCCCCTGTTCCAGCGAAGGGAATGTGTACTGCCAAGGTGTGTAGTTGCCGGGAGTCGATGCTAGCGCACGATCTGCAAAGAGAGTTGTAGTGGAATGCTGCCCAGGTAGAGGCGAAACAGCTGTGCTCGAGGAAAGAGATGATGTCCCTGCGTCTTGTCTTGCAGTATCATTACTCTCGAGCACCACGGGAGTCTCGGCAAAGCCTGTATCCGCACCCTTGTTGGGAAACAGGAAGGGAGTGACCCCGGCCTGCTCAGAGACAGGGTCGTCCACGAACACATCCTCTTTGGTGATGAACATCGCTTCTTCCCTCTTTGTGTTGGGCCGTTGTAGTTTCTGCTCTGTAAAGTTTATGAGTCAATCAGCCTGAGCCCTAGCAGTATCCACTTACGACCGAGTTGCTCTCTAGACCACACTTTGAACAATAGTGCATCAGCTTCTGTCCCAACAAACATCTTCGCCTCAGTTGGGTAGCGGACCGAAGAGCTTCTGCGCAAGAGTCAATGTCACAGTCGGAAACCAGCCTCAGCGCAGCATACCTGATGTGAGTCACCTTGCCGTCTGGTCGTTCCACCGCAATACGGATGTCCATGACGATGTTTCCGGCCTGGCCGGCAGCAAAGCCACGTTGTTTCCGTGCATAGTGTAGTATCTTGCCCATCAGGGAATTCTGATTACTGCAGAGACCGTCAGTTTCGATAAACTCCCACTGTTGTAACGCACTCAATCAGACTATCAGTACTTGGCTCCTGCTTCTTCTGCGACGTCAGCACTTCAGCTTCTCTGGCGAAATGTGCTTGTTCCTCCTCAGTCAGCTTCTCGTAAAGCTCCGTCCCAGCAGCCTGCCAGTGTTTCAGATGCTGCCCAT